GAAAAATAAAACCACTTTAGTGATTGAATATTATGCTTGCTTAATTCTGGACTTCTCGATTTTGGACATACAAATGGGAAATTTCATCTCAGAATAAAATGTCAAGAGCCCAATGAAATTGAAAACGTCTGCAGTGCGGCACTTCAGAATGATCTACACGTCAAGTAGTGACTTAAATATATTCAGAACTGTATTTGTATCAAACATACAGAGTAGATTGCTCTACAATATACAATTAATTTCCTGAGACCTTATGCTTTTGTTGTCCCGTCTTTTTTGGGCGGAGCTGACTAAAAATATTTCATATAATCTAAATGCCACAGACTATTGGTAGTTATTTTGCGTACCCATAAAATGCTATTCCCTGTGCATAAATCAGACAAAAATACTCTCATTGGGATTTTTGTATCAGTAAATGTTTCTCAAAACTCCCATATGACTCAATTGAGCTGATCTTATTTTGCTGATTGGAGAAACACAATCCACCTAAATCGCCACCATAGAAAGTACATGGAAGTGAAATCCTGTCCCATCCACCGGGAAGCATAAAATCCTACGGCAGATGGATGGCTTGACCGTGGTGACGTATTCCCAAAGACAGAATTCCCCCATTTGCAGCCAGCCGCCATTATAGAGGCACTTAGCCTTTTAGCTTGAAGTCTCTTGCACTCTTTCGCTCCGGTTGTGAAGACTATTGTGGCAGAGGGGTGATAAAAAAAAAAAAAAAAATCAATGTCTTCATTGTGGAACACAGAGAAAGAGATTCGCAGCTAGTTAGCAGTAGTGAAGGATGGCAGCTGGCATCATTAACCTCGCCGCCTCTCTGACAAACACACACACGCGCACATACGCAGGGGAAGTAGCGGGATAGTTAGCAAGGCTCATCAGTGAAACAAAAGCACCGCTCTGTAAAACAAGTTGCATGAATGCTAAATAAATGGGGCTTAGCAATTTAATCAGGGGGAATGATCCATTTCGCCTCTGAAATCATAAAACGATTTAATAGACGGTATTTACAATTCATGCACTGAATACAGTAGGTGTGGCCCGATAATTTGAAGACATCTCACATTATGAAGACGAGGCATGAAATAACACATATATAGAGATACTGTACTTTTGATTTTTCACCAGGAGTTGAATTCGTAATCGTGGTGGAGCGGCACAACAATAACCTGTCACCACATCCGCCTCGGAAAGTGATTACTTCAGCTGCCATCAGTGGCTTTCAGTTCCAAAAAGACACCCGAAATGCTCGACAGCAATTTGTCAGTAGTTGTTTCACTCTTATGTTTCTAAAGGAAGGTGTGTGTGTGTGTGTGTGTGTGGGGGGGGGGGGTCAAAATGCATACAAGAATATGAAATGATCAATTGTTGGTCGAGGATTTCTTCTTGGGGGGGGTTAGTAGCCACGTCTTAATGAAAGCTATCTTTTCTTCTCTGGTGTGTTTGAAGAAGGCATTTCTTCCAGAAGGCTGATTCCATTAAAAAGTCACCTTACTACAAATAAAGACTTTGTGGATAATATTGTTCAAATAAAACTCAATGTTTGTGAAACTCAATGTCAGAGAAAATTATCTTGTGTTCTCAAGTTCTCATGACGAAAAACCATCATGACAATATATAAACATATCGAATGGGTAATGTACTGTAATTTAAATACCTTTTTTTTTCCTTTTTTACTTTCACTGGCGAACATACACTTGAAGTACAAGGGTTTAGATGGTGGCGGCAGACTTCATAACAAACTGCAGCTAGGTAACAATTAAAAAAAAAAAGGGTCCAAGCATGTGCTTCAGGCTCTAAATTGACACTCTCTGTTGTGATTCACTGTCAAACTAAACAAAACGAAGACAATGACACAATGCGACTTCAACCTGGGCGGCCCGGTGGTGCAGTGGTTAGTTACCACGTCAACCTTACAGTGCAGAGGTACCGGGTTCAATTCCAGCTCCCGCCTCCCTGTGTGGAGTTTGCATGTTCTCCCTGGGCCTGCGTGCATTTTCTCCGGGTACTCCGGTTTCCTCCCACATTCCAAAAACATGCATGGCAGACTGAGTGACCACTCTAAATTGTCCCTGGGTGTGAGTGTGAGCGGGGATGGTTGTTCATCTCTGTGTGCCCTGCGATTGGCTGGCAACCGGTTCAGGGTGTCCCCCGCCTACTGCCCGAAGACAGCTGGGATAGGCTGCGGCACGCCCCGCGACCCTTATGAGGATAAAGCGGATTGGAAAATGGATGGATTGATGGAAATAATATTACTTCAGCTTGTGACATTCTTTTTCATTTTTACATCATCAAATCTCTGTAATATGACCGTATGTATGCAAGTGGTTCCTGTGTTAAATGAAATGGCTTCATTCCTTAAATTATATTCACTTATATTATTTCTGTATTATTTTACTTACAATATCTTGCTAGTATTTTTTATTCATTCCAATGGGGAAAGATGATTTGAGGTATGAGTGTTACGAGGCTGGCCACAGAACGGATTAAACTTGTGAGTCAAGACGCCAGTGCAGTAAATTTCTTGTCACTTCTGACAAATGGTGCTCACAATTGATCAACAAGACCGCAATGTCCCCCACCATACGTCCAATTGTGTTTGAAAAAAACCAACGAATATTTCAGTAACACAAGATTACCTCAAATGAAGCGTAATCAAAACTGACTTAAGATATACCATTCGAAATCATGCTAAATGACTATATGTAGACACAACATGAGTTGTTGTGTAGCTCTTGCCCTCAGATGGGTATCCCTGAATGTCTTGCTGGGCTCCCAGCAGGACTACAATGTCTGGTCTGAACAGAGCTGAGGAGGAATTCTAGCAGGGTTCAAGTTGCGGCTCGGTCGTTTCCACAGTGCTGTCTCTATGGCTGGAGGGCCACAGAGTGTCTGTTACAAGGATACTTCGTCATGCGGGTCAAAGGGAGTTCATTAACAGATGCTCCTCACAGACTCCAGTCAGCCATGTTTGGACATGCCATTGGGGAATTAGCCGCGTTCATTTGCCGAGTGAAGTCTTGGACAAAGTGAAGAAACAAAGCGCGTAAAATACAGCGACATGCAATCCGGAGGACCCTGTCAGACTGACGCTCAGGTTTTGTGACTTCTCCTCCAAATCAACTGAAGTCGCGAAAGCATCGCTCCCTTTCAAACAAACGGGCCTCGCCTGCAGTACAGTCTCGTGTCTCGAAAGAAAGAATGCTTTTTTTTCCTTTGGTGTAAACAAATACTTCCTGCACAAACTGTAATTAGTGACTACTAATTAGCCACACACTTTTCATCTCCGGGGACTAACAAAGGAAGAAGTGCAAGATGATATTGCGGGTCTTTGATTGCACGCCACTCTCACAACACCAACATTTGGGTAGTAGTTGTTGCTCAGGCGGCGCTTGCGTGACCGTCCTCTACGCTTCTCATTCAAGAAGAATCATTAACGCTTCAGCGACTGCACGCATTCATCCATGCGTGCCTCTGGCAGCGGTAACATGTCGCTGGAAGACAACCGTAACATGACAAGGGGAGATCACCTGCTCTTTGATATTCAATGCCTGACTACGAGTATCTGTACAGCATATGCGCCTCCATGCATCCAGTTGCCTAGACAGTGTGATAACAGTTTCAGTTCGGGGTAAGATGTACAGGTAGTAAAATACAATCTGGTACAAAGGAGGTCTTACTTGAAAGTTGATTTTTGATTCTTTAATTGGAGTATAATTGGTTAAAGAATTAAACGTGATGGAAGCAATTTATCTGAAGAGGCAATATCAAACTTATCTTGAGCAACAATACACACAGCAGTTGTTTTGCCCATGAAAATTTTGGGGGAGATCCTCACGTATGCGCCTTCATTTTGAAGGCAAATTGTTTCTCATACTGTAACAAGAATGCGATCATTTTCAAAATGTCTCACTTTGAGAGTCGCTTTCTGAAGTTTGCATTTTCAGTCTCTAAAATTTTGCTGTCATAAAAACGAAGGGCTAAAACTACACCCGCCCTTCCATCTTTTGGGTTGCGAATGGTCCTGTTTAAACAGCATTTTGTTTGTTGTACACATACTGTAAAGTGACTTCCCATTTTGATTGTTCATTCTTTTAATTTTTGTGTTTTTCCAACCATGCAAACGCATTTAAAAATTTGAAGCAGTTTTACAAATAGTTCTGCTAATTGAGACTGATACTTAATCATGATATTTTATATCTACATACTTTTTTAAATATACATAATTTTGACTAATTCCGGACCCGTGTCCACAGACACACGCACACACGCATTTTGTGGTGTCTTTTTTGCATGACTGTGTGGACCTTTGTCCATCCACATTTTTGGGTTGAATGTTACTAATGTCTTTTTTGAAATCACAAGGTGTGATATTCAGAAATAGCTGCAGTGATTAGTGACTTCCATTTGCAGTGTTGTGTGACTTTGTACAGGCTTTGAGTGGGCTAACACGGACGGCCGTGCGGTAAGGCTTGACAGCTTGCAAATGTGTTATGTGGACAAATATATTTCCTAACGCTACTGATGTAGTCAGCAAGTCAAAAAAAACAATATCTGAATGGAAAAATCGTCAGCCTTTTTTGCTGGGCAAAGCATCTCTGTTTTCTCTAAGGATGAATGACGGATGATTTCATAGTGTTTGCAGAGGACATCACAATGCTTCATGACACAAATCAATACAGAGATGAAGACAACACCACAGTTCCTGGCAAACCCGGCAATTTGTCGACTATGAATTGGTTGTGGCCGCATTGTTGAGTCCCCCCCCCGTGCTTCACATGCGTAATCACATCTGAGCTCTTGAGCCCTTTTGTTTCCCTTCAGCAGGTGCGTAACACGACAATGTGAAACATTGCAGGCTGTTGCTTTACAGTTTTCAACAAACCTGCTCAGACGCTGTAATTACACCTCACCCTCCCCAATACCCTGCGGCGGCTATCCAATTTCGCAGGGCTCTGTGATACAAGCAAACAATGCCAACACAATGCACGTACCTCCATGGCGAGCGCGGCTGTCTGCTGGTCGTAGTGGTTCAGGAGGTTGGGCATAAAGGTGGTGTTGTAAGGCAGATCCTGGCACATTCGCAGTCGGATGGGCTCGCAGCTGAACTCGCTGTGGCTCTCGATGGCCTCCATGTGTATGGTCCCAGCCGGAGGAGCCGGGAATAAGAAGAGCAGGAAGAGCGGGATGGGGAAACGGGGAAAACAGACAGTTTGCCTGCAGGACATCGATGCAGTCTTGTAGTCTCTCATACATTCTTTTTCAAATGATTCCGGCATTGTTATGCAGCAGAGAGGCCAGACTACCAACTATCGCCTTGAGCGTCGCTGATAATTGGTTTAAGGCTTCTTTGCATTGGAGGCAACGAAGTCCACTCTCAGTGGGGATTTAAAAAGAAGAATCCCACCTCTTAATAAGAGGCACATTATGGAGGAAAATGGAGGCCCCACTGATTGGCGCACCAAGACAAAGCAGCGCGAAAGAAGCCGCCTCTTGTTCGCCACTATTTACTTTCAGCCTTCAGAGAGAGCCGTCGCTTGCTCCTTGCTTGCAGAGCATCTTGCAGCATTCTCCACCTCCTGGTTTATTCCATGGTGACAGCGAGGGAGAGAGAACAGCTCTTCTGGGTTGTCAGTCCCTCTTTTGTCTGCTCACCCTCGCCTCCAGCAACACCTCAACAAAACACACAAAGTCGCGATATCCATCTCCTCCTCCTCTGAGTGATTTTTCTCTATCTTCAAGGTCTCCTGCATTCTGGCTTCTTCAAGCAGGTCCTGCAGGTTTAGAAGCACGCACGCACGCACACACACAAACAAAGGTTGAATGATCAAACAAGCTGAATGGGCTTTGTCTCAGGTTGCATTCCATTGGAAAATGAACCTCTTGCCAATATTAGGGCTGAACAATTAATCAAATTCAAATCGAGAGCGCAATGCAGTTGTTTGTAATTTTCAAATTACAAAGGCTGCAATTTGGGAAAACAGAAACTGAATTTTGTTGGGTTGGTATGCTTTTTTTTTTTAATCTATTATACATACAGTCGTGGAAAAAAATTAGGAGACCGCCATACTGTATTCAATTTCTTGTTCATTTTAAAGTTTGGTGCCACGAGAACTGTATAAAATGACTCACCAACACAAATGCCTAAAAGCATCATTATATATAGCTATTTATGTAAGACCTTGTGAAATGATGTTGGTTATTGTCAGGAAAATATCGCAATCTGCACTTAATTCAACTCTTATGAGCTATTTTTGTTGTCAATAATACACTGGTCCAAAAAAAGTGTACCTTCAGGTGTACTAGGCATTGAAATTGAACAAGAAACTGAAGAAATAAAGGTGGCCGTTGATTTTTTTTTCCCATGATTGTATCTATATTGTATGCATTTGTTAGTGTCTTCAATTTAGTGCTCAAGCACAGTCCTTGCATTCATTTACCATTGTTTCATGAAACTTGAAGTGATAAATCCAGATTTGTTTCTACTGCTGTTTATGCCAGCCACATTCGGATGGCAGGATGCTCTGGAAGTTAACAATTCTAATTGAACGTGAACGCGCACGCCCCCACTGAGGTGGACACACACGGAGGGAAGTCGACTCGACCGATGCTGTTTCTCTAATTCATTGTTCATTTCACTTGACTTTACCGCAAGCCAAACCTATCAGACCAAAATATTTATGGATAGTAAATCCGATATTGTTAATTCGAATACTATTTATTCCTGTTTTGTGAAACAAAATACATGGGAAGACGATTTTATCAAACAATAATCGTATATTAAATAGCAATTAGACTGTTTTTCAAAATCGTTTATCCCTTGTGATTTACAAACTCCTTTTCAAAATAAGACGTAATCTCGCAGACAATTTGGTGACAAGCGTGATCATGGGTTAAGTCAAAACAGGCTGTTGACAAACACCTCTACACTGGAGGAGCAGAAATATGTTCAAAACGACTTGAAGCAGACGTAAATCACGTTTTAATTGCATTTTATTTTAAACTCACAAGGTTCCGTCTAATTACGTGGACACCCCCTCCAACACATTCGTGTTTGTGTGATGTCGGCCAGTCGACACAAACACTCCTCACGGATCCGTTTAGGTCATTTTAGCTTTCTTCCTTCCGATCATTTGTACAACGCTCACGAACCGTGTAGTAAATTCGAGGGCACCTGCACCCAACAGGCTTCCGTAGCCATTTCAGAGCGAAGCAACTTGTCCGGATAGTTAGCTACCTTTATGCTAATGATAAGAACACCTTTGAAAAAAAGCGCTACCTGTCGTCCACGTACGTAGGGTCAGCATGTCTATTTCGAAAGATGCGAATGCGGCGCCGCTTTCCCACTCGATGGTTTGAGGAGGCACGCTCTCCGCGTAGACTCACATCAATCGTGTGTGTGTGTGTGTGTGTGTGTGTGGGGGGGGGGGTCGCGCACGCAGGAAACCAATTTAAAAGGCATTTAGGGCGCCTAAGTAGACGGAAATAATCGCCAATAGACGCACTTTACCTCGCAACGATGGGCTGAGAGAAAGGTCCGGGTGCTCCGGTGTCTACATTCGCTGCATGCGGTGCTCCAGTCGTTGTCCGCCGCTGTTTGCCTGCTTGCAGCGAGAGCGCGCAATCAACGTGAACGCGCACTCCCCCACTGAAGTGGACACACGCGGAGGGAAGTCGACTCGGCCGATACGTCTTAATTTATCTTTAGCGCTACATTATCGACGTTATTTTATGACCGTTTCATTTTCTCAGTATTAAAAAGGGCGGGGGTTAGACAAGGGTGGAACCCTCAGGGTCAGCAAACTATTCTATGCTAGCCTAAAGACTATCAGAAGAAGAATTTACAACAATAAATATAATATTTATTTTTGGTATGAATGCTTTCTCAACAGTCTGTATCAGGGATGGGCAACTTAGGTGCTGATGAGGCCACCATTTTTCATCATCTCGACTGGGCGCCGCAGGGGATCACACACTTCCTAACCATATGTATGAAAAAAGTGCCACTTTAGAAATTTTAACAAATTACATGCTCTTAATTGATTTCATTTTCCTAATACATTTCTCACTGCATGTATAAAAGATCCTCTATCTGAACCCACATTTTCATAATACATTTCTCACTGTATATATAAACTATCTGAATCCAACAACAAAGGCCTGAAGCAAAGAAAAAAACAACCACATAGTGTGCAAAGGGCTGTCTTGCACAAAAATGACCATTCAATGATGACATAAAACTGCTGAACAGCAAACCAACATTTAGTCCAAGAACTAATTTTCGATGAAATGCAATTAAGACATGTATGATATCTCGTGATAAATGGTGATATTTCAACCTAAAACTACAGTTGCGTTTGCATACTCACTGTTCGGCAACCATGGATTCGCATAGTCACAGATTTATTTTATTTTTTAAAATATTTTGTTTTGTTCTGGTTATTCAGGGATTTCCCCCATTTTCAAAAAAGAAATGTAAATTTAATATTTTTCAGTGTTTTTTTGTTGGTTTTTTTTTTAAATATTCACTCAGAGTGTGGTCTGTATTCTTGCAGCTGCACTGGTAGGAAAATATATAAACATCAATATGCAATACTTCTACATATATCTCTAAGTGTTTACCATTCCAAATAATGATCTCTGTTAAATTAAATTAAAATTAAATTCTTACAAAATCACAATGTCCCAGTCTAGGAAATCACAATGTCCCATCATTCCCTGCGGGCACCATATTGGTGACCTTGCACTCGTTGTACAGTACACTTAAGAAAATATCAATACGATATGGCGCAAGATGGCACACTCTGCCATACTCTCTGGTTTTCATTTGATTGTTTTTCTAATTACGGCCTACAAGTATTTTCTCTCAACTGCATTTATAAGTTTCCTCTTGCTTTAGCACAACTTAGTGATAAACTATGACAAGTACTGACATACAAATTTGTGTTATACTGTATTACTGGTATAGGAACTGAATTATTGGATCTAATTCTAAAATGTGTATTAATATTGTGGACGATTAATTTTGTCTGTTCATAAATACATTGTTCTTTTGCAAGCAAGTAAAAACAGTTAAACGTAAATACTTGTGGACTCCTATGTTTCATCTAGTGCACAGAGACCACAGGGTTCTATAATAACACAAGCAATGGTGGGTAAAAAAATGCTTACAATGTTTTTTTTTTTTTTTTAATTGAAATGATACAATAGGAGCTGCCCTTGGCCTGGAAGCAACAATGTAAATGTCTTGATACAAATAAAAATATCTTGACATATTTCTCTTTGCTTGTCAACAACTTGAAATCAGGTCAGCGGAGCAAATCAATTTCGAAATTAATGGACAGTACATAATACATTTTGGATTTGCCTGCTAACTTGGTCATTGCAGGTTATTAAAAAAAAACATTTCAAACACGAAGGAAATGCGAATTTTCAGGAGCTGAAATTGATGGAAAATATTTACAAGGCACCGGTCATATTGGAGCCATTCGTCCTGATAGTACAAGGACCACATCCTCATTAGTGCTTGTGTTTTCATGGAGAAACAGCTATGTGGTGACCCCAAATTGAGCCTGATGGCACGGGCCTCACAGACTGATCACTGAGTGATTGTATCAGGCAGCACAATGTCAATATTTATCCCTCACACAGTCAGGATTAGTGCTGCGTGCTATGATTCCCTTCCACACGATTGAGCACAGCACTAGATTAACCGTTTCATGGCTGATGTGATGTGATCCTCTCTGTCACTGGGATGTATGTGTGTGTGTGTGTGTGTGTGTGTGTGTGTGTGTGTGTGTGTGTGTGTGTGTGTGTGTGTGTGTGTGGTCTGTGAATGCTAAGACTGCTGGCCCACATTCTGGTTGAACCTCTTAACATGAAAAATAGTGTTCAGCGAGTACTCAAATGTCTTCGACGTCATAACACTATATTTGCTCATGGACAAATTCAACTCTTTGCAGGCTAAAGAGAAATCTTTTTACTTGTATTTGACCATCCAAATGTCAGAGCTCCAATATGTAACCCTGTCTTTCAGTGTATTTCTTTCCCTTTGCTTTTAAACAGACCCAGCAATTTTGTGGTCAACACCCCTCGGGTTACATATTGAACAATAACATGAGTTTCTCTTTAACTTAACTTCCAAGGGAATTATGTATTTCCAATCACTGCATCTTAATGGGTGCAAGCTATTTTTAAGGGGACGTCAACTCCAAAATTGTCTTTGCAATAATGCGTCGCATGGAACCCAACTAGTCTAAATATGGCATTCTGATTAATAATGGGGTTGAGGATATGAGTTAAGCAGGAACATTTGCTCGTTTTTGTCCATCTCAGGGGACCAGCCATTTTGCCACTTGCTGTCAACTGAAATGACATCACAGTTGCTCAGGGTTCAGGTAACAACCAATCACAGCTCACCCGTTTTCAGACGCTGAGCCATGATTGGCTGTAACCTGTGAGCTGTGAGGTAATTTTCCACCAATCGAAAATGGCAAATGGCCGCCTCCTAAGATGGCGAAAAACGGGTTGATTTTCCTGCTTAATTCATATTCCACAAATGCTATATTAATCAGAATGCCATGTTTAAACTAGTGGAGGTTCATAGAACATATGATTGGGAAGAAAATATTTGAGTTGACTTGCCCTTTATCACAAAAATTGTGTCAGTGTGGTCCATAAAGGAATGAAACATTAGTCAGTAAAACATAATATACTGCATTATAAAAGAAATACACTAAGTCATACATGAGGTATACAATCCTCAATGGCATTGTATTTAAGGGGTGTTTCAAAATGTCCACCAAAAATACAACAGCATGGTCTAAACATATATATCTAAATGTCAAAATTCGAACAAGGCTAATAAAAGAATATTTAAACATGAATAAAAAAGTACAATAGGATAAGCGGCTCGGAAAATGGATGGATGGAGGGCTGGATAGTTTCCTTCATACTGAACAGGCCTTTCAGCACAAAAATGATATTGACAAGTCAAAGCAAACGTGCTACACACTTAAAAGTGGTCCTACTGTGACTCCATCAACACTGTGGCTCAAAAACTTTGAATGCATTTACTCTTGGTCAGGTTGAACGAAATGAATCAGGCCACTCAACTAAAAACTCTCTAACTACTTCAAGATTTAAGGACATGAAAGAATGGAGTGTCGTACTTCCAGCATTTTTCTTCCCTCAGGCATCAGGGTTGACATTCTGGCCAATCAAGCGTGTGCTGTGCGGCGAGCTCTCCACCCCTTCCTCCAACTGCGAGAGAGGAACGATGAGGAAGTGTAAAGGTGTGAGAAAACCAATAACCACACACACACACACACACACACACACCTGTTCTTTGTAGTAGGTCTTTCCACAGGCCAGCAGGCCCCTGAGAGTCAGTCCTACGATGAAACACCACACAGACAGGCCACACTCTGCTGCTGCCAACACAGCACTGGGGAACCATATCGCCAGGGTGGTGTCCTTATGATATATTGCAAAAAATTAATAATAACAACAACAATGGTGAAAAACAGCAACAAATATAAGGACACTTGCCAGAGTTTATATTAGGCTATAATGTCTTCTTTGTGTGTTTTAAATATTATACTACCCCCAGGTGGCCATGTCGCACAAATCGGAAGGTGAGTCGTGTTATATTGGTGATATTGCTTGTATGAAATTTGTCTGCGCATTATTCATTATTTGAAGAAATATGACTCCTGGAAGTCGAAGATAATTTCCCATTGGCATATCGATGGGATTTTACTTTGACTCAAGCATTAGCACTGGCGATGTTTCACAAAAAAAAAAAAACAAAAAAAAAAAAAAAAAAACATTTTGGTTAAATATACAATGTGTGTATTTCGATTGGTTGTGTGTTTAGATTTAGCATAAACTCAAACTGGGGTGTCATTAAACATTAAAAAACAACTGTATCAAAACTTAGAGAGAAAATAGATAGATTAATGCAACAAGTATTCAAGGATTCTTGAAAATGTCCAGGAAATGCTCACTGTAGCTGATTAACCCTTTACAACCTGAGCTATATGTGTCGGCGCTGACACGTGTCTGCGCAGACACGTATCGCCGCCGACACGTATCACCGCCGGCACATGTCCCTGCAAAAAGTGTCGCTGCCGACACGTTCTGAATTAAAGGGTTAAAGAATGGAGTGGGTATTATATGTGGTCCAGGTGTGATATTTTGCCCAACCCTGGTCTACAGTATAAGCTATCCATTCTTCTCATCATTATCCATGAAAAAAAAAAAAAAAGAGTTGAAACTTACATAAATGCGTGTAGTGTCGAACGGGCATTGTGCGCTGACGGGAGAGCGAGCGTTGGCAGGCACCACTGTGTCGTTACACCCTCGCATCAGGCCCTGACCATTGTGAGAGACCGTCACACCGATGGCCATGAGGAGGCCGACGCAGCACGCTGCTGACAGTAGGGCATTCAGGAACGAGGCTAGCAGAAGTCCAACGTGCTGGAAACACATAATGGCAACATCTTCAACGTGTTCTCAGTTATACCAAACAGTGACGGCTACGATTCAAGTTTGATTCATGGTGACCTAGAAGTCTTACCAACTTAAACATACGAAGGTTCCTCGACACCACAATGGCGATGATCCCAGTTGCAATGCTCTGAAATATCGAGACGCTTACATAACTCTCTAAGCAGAACAAAAACAACTGACCATATTAATCTACTGCCAAAAGCAATATATGTCTGGAGTACACACACACACATGCACACACCCACATGCACACACCCACATGCACACACACAATTAGGGCAAAGTTCACCCCGATGATGCTTTTCTGATTAAAGTCATTCAAACATTCAAGCCGACAACTGTAAATGTTCAATCTGCTCAATATTTCCGATTGCAAACATGCGCGTGGCCAACACAGAGTTTAGCTGAGCCAGAGACACCATGACTGTGACATGAAACACGATGCTAGATGTTGGTACAAACGTGATTGTTTTTTATGACATCGCCCCAGTCATTCACCACAATAATAATGACATAGAGAAGAATTTGCAACAGTAATGTAGTTACCTAAAAAACTAACAATCTTCTATTTCTTCTTCGATTTCTACTCTTTTTCGGTAAGCATGGATGCCTTAAAGTTACATCTGCTGTTGAGTTGATAAATTCCACTGGACAATATTTGAGGAAATATGGAAAGCATTGCACTGCTTGATATTATGCTGCATTAAAAGCAAATTTAAAAAAAATATATCATAATCACATATTTTTGTTGTTTCTTATTCCATTGTTGTTCTGTAAAGGATTGTTTACTGTGTAATTATTAAGTCAAAAATTTTTCCCCCCCAAAATTTGTCTCTTTTACTTATTGAATGCATGTTGAAATGCCCTATTATATAACATCGGTTAGGGAAATAAACTTGTCTTCTACTACAGTTCCACATATGATAACAGACAATGTATTATCTTTCGAAATAGTGGGTAATTGTGCCATCGTGATTACTTTCTGCTTAATGTGGCAGCACAACATAATGGAGCAATGTGACTGTACTGTCGAACTAACTCGTTACTAGGCAGGCTCCGTCTGGTTTTCCCCACTAAAGTAAATGCACTGGAGCAAAATTCATTAAACAGGAAAAGTTCTACCTACATTGTCTTAGTAAGTTTGAAACAATGCAGGAATGAATACTTGAACTCACCAGCAGACCTGAGGTGACAGAAATTATGTTAACTGCTGTGTATTCTGTGGTGATTTCTTGGCTTGGTTTAGAAATGTGTCGCAGGACACTGCCGTGGACTATAGCACCAAGGATGAAGTTAATATGGCCCACCAGGATGAGCGCTAAACCTTTTCGCATCAATCTCCTTGGTCCCTTTTCCTTATCTGCAAATACAACACAAGCCAAACGTGCGTGACATACTAAAAGTGTGCATTTAGATTTACTGTACTAACAAAACATTTCACTTTTTTTTGTATCTCTTTTGTGTTTCTTCAAGTGTCCGTGGCATGTACTTTATCATAAAGAATAAACACTCGCGGGCTACATTAGTTACAATTATCCATTCGTCCATCCATCACCCTGCAACCTCTGCTCTGTGAGGCTGACGTGCAAACCAGTCGACTTCCACGCCGCTCTCGTTACATCTACTGTATTGGGTGACAAATCTGACTGAACTTTTTTTTTTTAATTACAAAGAACACTTTAAAAAGACAAATCCTTTTTGTCCCTCTTCTGTTGCTAAATTAGAAGTTAAAAACATTGTCCACAGATATGAAATTAGTATGTGACAGAGTATTACAATTAAAATGTACAATTAGGTTAATGGTGCTATTCTCTCAACTCAACTGTATTTACAGAGCACTTTCAAACAGCCATCGCTGCATACAAAGTGCTGTATAAAAAATTCTCAATTAAACTTTCAATGCAGGAGGAAAAAAATATTTAAAAAAAAATCAAAAGGAAGTGTTGATGCTATATGTTGTTTACATTTTTTGTATAGGTAAAACAATCATAATAAATTTTGTAAATGAACTTAATATACATTGATCAGCCTTGTGATGAGGTTGCAGATAAAAACGTTCGGCTGGGGAATTGGAGCACCAGGAATTAAAATAAATAAATAAAAACAGACGTTACACATGAAAATAGATAAAAAAAATAACAATAAAATTATTCAATATAACACATTCATTTAACAACAGTTTTATTGTTGGAGTGTGCAGTAATGTGTGGAACTGCACACTAGATCAACCGAGAGCGAGAAATTATGTACGGTATTTTTTCCAAGTGGTCGGAAGACATAAAACAATTCACAATACACAAATTAGATTTGAAAAGTGACTCACTTACTTGCTGCATCTCCTCTTTGAAAGTAGGCCAATTATTTTACATGAATCCACATTCCGCATTACAAAGGAGCACTGATGAGATGTGAAGCTTTGACCACAGTGAAGCTTATTTGTTTTTACAGCCTTTGTCGTCACTCCCTGAGGGGGGGAACTCCTTTTTATTTATTGCACTTACCGTACATGTTTAATGATCAATATGCCTTTGAGCACTGTTTTAGGTAGAATGGATGAGTGAGCGGATACGTATAAACACACTATAAAGCAGGTCGACTCCACCATGCAACGTTTTATTGACCGACTTATTTCCACTTAGTAGGCCTGCTCGTCGTGAACGCGGGCAAAATATACCGAAACCGTCGAAAGCGATAGACACAAAGCAATAATAATAAGCAAAAATTACAATAACTCACCAAAAGCACACATTTCTTCTTTTCGGGAAGGTGGTTTCCTTTGAATCTGAGATACCGTAAGGATGTCCTGAGTTTACGAGCGACTTTTCACACCAGCTTCCCACAGTTTGCGCTGTCCACTTCCTGTATGACGTCACAAACCCACCTGACGCTTACCTGCTGAAAGCGCTTGCTTGAGATATCATTCGGTACACTTGCACCCAGTGAACTGTTGAGCTGCATTACAAGTTGTAACAACATAGCTGCTCCTCTTGTTTTATGTTGTCTTGAGAGGGAAGAAATTTCATCTGTGCTGTATACAGCACATTTGACAATAAAGTTGTACTTGACTTGCTAAGAAGTGAGTATTATCATTGTCAAAGGCAGACTTGAGTAGAACCTAAGTACTTGGGTCTCGGGTCCTCGCTATGGCAGGACACACGATGTTTCGCTGTTACGAACGGAAGATTTCACGCGGTATAAGAATGCTCTGTTCCCATTGTTTTATTCTACACTAACGACCTGGCTGTGCATGCATCATCGAGCTCAACATTAAAATTAAATAACATAGTAGGATTAACTGATGCTGCCAAACAAAACGGAAAAAAAAAGATACAGGTTTTGTTCTTATTAACTACATTACGCTTTATTATTTGCCATTTTACATCACAGTTTGGACATTTGGGTCAATTAAACTATTTCAATATCAGTTCGACTCAAATGTAGCTGAATAAGGGTTTTGATAGTTGGCGTGTTCCGACTTGTATACAATTACACGTTTGGACAGCGAAACTCCGTCGTAAACCGAGCATTCCTTTTATAGTTGAAAATATGCCATTACTGTATTGTATTGTTGCACCATACATAACGACCAGAGAAGCTTTTCACACATTTATTTGAAAGAGCAGTCATCATTTGCACATTCTGTCAAGTTGCACTTCGTAGAAAAAAACAACAACAGAGTGACGGTCTTGACATACACAAAACCCAAATGCAACAACATTTGGAGGGAAAACAATTCCCAGGTGAACACCATGACTCCACACTGAGAAAGATTACGTAACAAAATGAATTGAAGTACGCGTGATTCATTAATAGTGTTGTTGGACAGGTTCATCTTTTTGAACACTTACCGGTACTCTATAAAAGTGTTTGGTATTCGACCAACATTTTCTGGGGGAATATGCCTCACATTAAAACTTGGGAGGTGGATTCATCCAGAAACTTGAGCTCAGTAAGAAGGACACTTTTTTGGGGTTGAATTTTGAGCATTGCCACCACAGGAGGGTACCACTGGTGCTTATACAGAACGATATTGCTAATAATAAAAGAATATTGGAATGTGCACTGGAAAGGAACTCTTTAGCGGGAACAATGACAACCCGGACCCACACCACTTTACTTATTGGCCTGTGGAAGCGCATACTCTTGTGCAAAATAGCAACATGGTCGGTTTTTCCTCTACAGTCTGCTCCCCAGTACATTATGGCTAACTCAACAAAAAGACAAGAATGGTAGTAAAAAGAACACAAAATACATTTTGTGTCTCAAAGTTAAGGGAGACTACATATAGTATATTAGTTTTGTTTCAACAGAAGAGTACAGTTGACTCTGCACCATAATTCAAATGATAAATTTGAGATCATTAAAACAATGGATTGTTAGGACTTTGGAGGTAATGGCTGAACTATTTTCTGTGTTCTTACTGCCTCTGATGAGACTAAGCACCATGGAAAAAAATTGGAGGCAACAAATGGATCCAAATTGTGATTCGACTCGTGTCCCTGCCATGAAATGAAAAATAAGGGCAAACGCCAATAGAGTTTACAAAGTGCCACAGACACTTACCATGATGGTGTCAAAGCATACTATGTGAAAGAGAAACACACATTCTACACAATATCTGTAACACATCAAATGTGTGGAACTACCTCCTGAAAATGGGCGTACATTAGGAAAAGCCTTTTTTTAACACCAGTATCTGGCAGCTGATATCAGTGTAAAAGGCACAGGCGAAAAAAGTACTCTAGGTAAAACTGGTAAAACAACAAATAAGACAAAAGACGTGAATTGAGATGAGACGTTTTTTTTTTAAAGTGGAAGGACATATAAAAACAAAGAGCAAGAGAAAAACATAACACTGAGTTCACAGCCCCTCACAGTAACAGTTTACAGATACTCGGCAAGATCGGCAGCACACGCGCGACAAACAGAATCGTGCTCTTGTTCCAAAGGCCTGCTGAACAACTAAGCATTCAGGCATTAATGCTTGTTGCTTTCCACACTACAGTTGTGAGACTAATACTTTATATTGAACCTGACAGGATGGTCTAAGAGCTGGGAATGTGTTGTCATGTAAAAAGATCAATGAGAATCAATCAACAGGGTGCATCATGTGAATTGACGTTGCAGATAGGCACGGCGTAGCTCATTTGGTATCAATTAAATGCACTTGTGGGGTTCATCCTTGATGTAACAGAAACATAGGCTTTTTTTGGTCACATTCAATTTCAGGAATCCAGCATGGTGAGTGCTTGTAAAGGGAAAATATCGTGTAGCACCTGGTGCTAGTTAAGCGCTTGACTGAAGCTTTCCTGAAGGAGTGAGGCTATTTTGGTTTGGTCCATCTGCGTAGAGAACACATCAACTTAATCCATGATGACCATATCGACACCCGTGAATCACCACTGTGAAAATATCATCGTAAAACTGTTGGGAAAATAATGTCCAACTGTATTAGGGAGTGACTGTTGAAGATTCTAAAATGACAACTTTATTCCCGCAATATTGTGACTCACAACGTTGCTTCTTAATTCTTGGAAAAAAAGCAAACTATTCCCATGAAATGTTTTCTAAATCTTGCAATATTTCTCATGGAAAATTCTATTTACCGGTAATCTTTTTCCATTTTTTCCTTTCTTTTCAGTATGGGCATATTACCATGAAATCCTGTGTATAACCGGGAGCCGTGTATTAATATACTCCTGCACACCATTACTGATCATCCTCTGTCCACCGGGTGCCCAAAAGTACCGGTAGTTATTTTGGAACCTTTCCTGCCTACGAATGTCAACCAATGGAACCGATTGCGCTGTGTATCATCCTGCTGTGGAGAAACATGGATCCAAAGCCTCTCCACTCTTGCACGCTCAGATGAGTGAATACAGTGTGGGTGGCCAAGTGAGTCACAGTGTACGTATATGTAATAGCAATTGTGCATCAAATTCTTCAAGTGAAACACACGAGAGGGTTTTGCAGCACAATCAGCAGTCATTCATCCTCACAGTACACAGCCGGTGTAAATCTATTAAATAAAAAGGGTACACACCTCACAGATGAAGCCCAGTTGCACCAATTCACCAGCCAAATCGTGAATATTTTCTTCTGAAAGTCAAACCAGCAGTTAGTAAACATGTTACATCTCATTCACATGACTACCGGTATATGTTCACAAAATTCTGCTCAGATGTTGCTTTATAAACTTCCCACCCCCAAAAAATGTAGTTCTGATCCAGTTGTGATTTGAGATCATTCACTTTTATCAAATACATTTTGTTCTTCCATTATTATTATGATTAATGGCTAGGTGGAAATTTTGAATTTAAGCTTTAGTCATTTCAAGAAAAGTTTATGTACAACTTACAAGCAAACTATGAAACACCATTAGAATGCATTACCACAACTGAAATTGAAATATTCAAAACAATCCAAAATTTGTTTGATTGAAAAATGTAAAGCTATTTATCCAAAGTTGAAGTGCTTCTCAGACTCTTAAAGTCTTGATAACATGTTCAACAATTTCAAGACCCCATGACAGGCCTGCAGTGTGTTTCTACACATTGATGTGCACGTTGATGGGCACCAATTAGTTTGTTAATAATGAAGTCTGACACTGCGTTGACGTGCAGTGTGTGAAAAGAAGCGTTTGTGAGTACAAATAGAGAAGATTAAGTCGGTGATTCCCAACCAATGTTCCGCGGCACATTAGCGTACCGTGAGAGCTCGAACGGCGTGCCATGGGAACTTACCAAATTTCACTGAATTGGTGAAAAAAATATTTATTAATAATAAAAAATGTATCTTTGTCCCTCTATGTCAGCAATGTAGAATGACAGAAAGAACCAAGAAAATGATCTTCCATTAGATGGCAAAAAGCATGAAATTGACATAGGTATCCTCTTTTTATGAGAATTCTGTTCGGTGGTGTGCCGTACGATTTTTCTTAAACTTAAAACATGGCTCAATAAAGGTTGGGAATCACTGGATTAATTGTCCAAGTGTGTCAGTGACACACAAGAAACTGCAAGCCGCGAAAAGACGGACAGATTTTGACACGAGAGGTGACAGCTGTCAGCTCCAGTTGCCCCTCGGGGCCGGATCCTCACATACTTGTAACGTTACACGTCACACATACCTGTGTGTGCATTTTTATTATGACCATTAACACTGATAGGTTGTCCATTAGACATTTCCCTTCCGTTCTGTCAAATGAACACAACCGGAATGTTGCATATGCAAATGTGTGTGTGTGTGCACGACAGTTGGTGCTTTTAGCAATTATGATGTTCCAAACAGATGTGTTCATTTTGAGCTTTTGAAAGATTAAAAAGACTAGTGTCAAGAAGAAATATATATTTTTTAAATCCCACATGCGATCTGCTGAAACGTAAAGTGCAAGGTTCTGGGAGACAGTCTCAGCTGAAAATAGTTGGCACGCTCTGTCAGGCATCTCACACTCGCTTTCACACATGCCTCAGTGCACACATATGGACACATCCTCAAAATGAACACTGCGAGCTTTGGAATAGACAATGATGTCATAACCATCCAATATAACACTAACAGTAATTCTTTTTACTTCGACTTAAATGCACACTAATCGTTACTTTGTGTGTTGCTCGAGGTGTGTGGCTTACGAGGTAACATGTCACAGCTTAGATGTCTGTTCAGCTTGTCCTCCAGCTTCAGCAGCAATGTCAGCTAAACAATCAGGAATGGTTGAGCTCATTATATTTTAAAATCATCTTGTATGGACAAGAGAGCAAACCACAGAGAGTACATTGCCAACTTGATAAATGTTGTATCATGAAAGGCTTTGTTTGTGTCAGGGTACATAAGCTTACATGATATTTGGGTCCCTCTTCAATCAGTTCAACATTGCACTGCATATGAATGACCTGAAGGAGACAGACAGAAAATCGAAATCATTTCCTTCTAACATAATAGGCACTTTCATACTCCTATTCAGAAATATGCATTGCATCACACACACCCGCCGCGTCTCCAGCTCCACAGGCTCAGGCGTGGGGGACTTGACCAAAGGAACGACAACGAGAGATTTAACATTCTGCTGTCGGGGCTGCTTCGGAGAGGAACGGCCAAACGCCGTTAGGGGATAAATCCCGTTTCTGATTGAGGGAGATCAGGACAGAGATGGACTTTCAGAGGCTTTGACAAAACAGAAGAAAGATTACTCTGTTAAGTATCCACCTATTGCATCCTAACCCACCCTGTAAGCTGCAATCTAAAAAGAGAGTGACAGAAGGGAAGGAAAATAAAATGAACAGAGAGCAGGTCAAGGAGGCTTATTAATATGTGAAGAAGTCGGCTGCACCATTTGAGGATAACAAAGGGGAAACAAAACAGATCACTTCTGCCCCCAAGTGGACACTTGAACAAAACAACCTGATAAAACCATTTGATTTTCATTCAAAACAGATATACTTTTCTGCTTACCGAACATCCTCCAGGAACTTATCGAGTTCCAAGGCGGGAAACTGTGAGAGTCTGAATGGAAAAAACACAAACAAAAGCAAGGATATGAAAAATGATCTGTTTGCATATTTATGAAGTCATCAATTATGTTTTTAGCAAGTTATTAGCTGATTAACTGCCATTAAAATGCCAACTCGATGTCGTTATTCTCAAAGCCAAAGACAAAGATGGTGAACAGGTGTTCTTACTTGAGCTGAACATCATCTTTCTTGTCAGCGATAATGAGATTAGGGTCCAAGTTTTTGGTTATTTCCTCCAGGGCGTTCTCTGGGATCATGTCTGGACAATTACGAGCCATCAACAATCAATCTGCAAAATCTCGGTTTCTACAAAACATTTCCTATTTAACTGGGCCTGAGTCATGATGCAAAAAAGCTAATATCTGTTATGGCTCCACCACCATCTGCTTGGGTGTCAACCAAATTGCTTTTGTTTTGTTGTTTTTTTAGGTCTTGTCACACAACACAACAGAACACAACACAGTCCATGTGTCAGGGGGGCTCACATTGGTGGCTGACAATACAGTGAGCAGCAAGCAGCTTCAGTAGTGGCACTTCAAACAGAGCCTGGTGAAAGAGCAGCTCTTGGGCGGTGGGCCTCGTACATGGATCACAATCCAGACACTTCTGAATTAGCTCCTAAAAAGCACACAACGCACATTCTGCTCAACAACGTTGTTGCCTATCATTTCATGAAGAAGTCTGTGGATCTTTGTGTAAAGGTATGTTTAAGTGTTACCAAAGCTTGGCATTGTAACTGACCCTTGTAAAATTATCCAGACCCAATGCGAAACCTTGGGTGTAAAATCCATACATCCACCCACACATCCATTTTCTACATCTCTGGTTGTATATCGACAAACAAACATTGTCACGCACATATTCATGCCTACGGAGAAATTAAGTCTTCAATGAGATATCCATAAAAAAAAAATAAATAAAAAATAAGCATGGGGAGGAAAAGCAATCTCCAGATAGGAAGACCACAGCAAAGATTCAAACCCCAAAACTCAGAACAGGCAGATGAGGTGAATACTAGTTTCCCACACTGTACTCTCTTCATTCAGTCCATCTGACTATGATAATTTTATCAAAATGAATGCTTAGCTTGTTTTGAAATCAGCATTCATTAAAGTAGTGGCAATCAGTCCTATACAAAATTTGAAAAGGATTTTGAAAAACAGAGTGAAGAAAAAAACGCACAGTAAAAATATACTGTCAAAATTAGAACTTGGGTACAGAAAGAAAGATGAAGTTAGCAAATGTCTGTTATTTCTGCTTAATGGCTATAAGGATCAAGTTGAGTGCATACAGTATTTTCAAAACAGAGTTTGGCATATTTCCATGGTTTTTCATGGGGCTGTTCTAGGCCGCGGGCCTCGAGTTTGGCACCTTGTAGATAAACGTTCACACAGTGTTTCGGCCTTACTTACCCTCTGTAGAGGGTCCTCCAGCAGCTGTATGGCAGTATTGACAGCATCCTCGGACACATATGACGACTCCCCGTTTCCCTGGATCTCCGAAAGAGCCATCTGCGGTGCACGCACAGTATATGAACATCTTGTACCGGCCTTGAGCATGCTTCATTTTTCATTCTGTTTGTGGGTTACTCCAGCACCTCGAGGGCACACATGCCGAATGAGTAGATGTCTACAGCTGTGCTCACGTCAGTGACAGCTGCATGGAGACAAGCAAGAAGACAATAAGAGTCAAAAAGTGTCCCCCGTAAGCCAGGCATCTGCAGGAGATGGAGGAATAATCGGAACATTGTCACAGGGACAGTAAATTAATTCACGTTGGAATTTGTGGTGCCAGTCGCTCATCTGTAAGAATTTGGGATTTGAAACCGGGGGGGTCACTTTAGTCTCGCTGTGGACAAAATGTGAAATGGCAGCTTATTGGAAGTGAGATCCTGATGACAGAGTGTGTTGTATTTTCCTAATGAGTGATTACATAAATTAAAAAAAAAAAAATACACGGAAATCTTCACCTAGCACCCTCTGCTGGTGAAGTTAAACCAGACAGGTTATAAGTGCAAAAAAAAAAAAAAAAATGACCACATCTGGACCACACAAAAGTATTTATCCACCTTTGCCTTTTTATGCAGTAGCACAATAGAATGACAACAAAGGCTACTCTATTCTATTCAATTGCCTTAACTGTATGAACTTTCACACTGTGACAAAGCATCGCACATTCAGATCGTCTGGTCTGATTTGTCCCTCATTCAGTATTTCTGACATTTACACAGGGCAGTTGTGTTGTTTAGCCTTTTCTGACCTCCATATTCCGGGGCAAAGAAATGCAAGTTCTTCTGTTCCTCATGGCATGTCTTCACATGGTTGTTGATGGTGTCTGGACCAACTGTGGTACAAGAGAAAAAAAATAACTTGAGGATCGATAGAAACATTTCATTGAGTTGGGTAGAAAAAGTACGAACAGGAGTAGTAGCTTGTTCTTTCAAGCAGAATGTGTTTTGTGTATCCGGATTAAAGTACATTTTCGAACCACATTACACAATTATGCAGTGACAATCAATGCGCAAGCTTGTCTTGCAACTAATGAAAACAATGTGAGTGTCACTTGGCTTGAGAACAAACTAAAGAAAATGAAACTCGTTTTTTTTTTTTTTTTTTTAAATACCCGATCCGATCTTGATGAGGCCATTGTGCTGGATGAAGATGGTGTCACAGGTCAGGTTGCCATGGATGATGGGGGGATCACATGAGTGGAGATAACTGCAGGACAGCAACAACAGACTCGCGTACATTATTTCCCTCATTTTCATGTGACCATGAAAATGTAGGAGCACGAGACCAACCTAAGAGCTGACAGGATCTGCGTGCACCATCTCTTCCAAGCCTGTCAGAAGCACATGCCTTGTCAAAAGACTTGTTTTAGCTGTGGTTTGGATCTACTGTGCGTAAACACTGGAACCACTGCGTAAAATCACGGTCTAAATCTGCAATTTATCACAACCAAAAGAATCTAAGCTTTTTAAATTTGTTTTGAAAAATATATACAGTATCACATAGATTATATTAAAATTCAATACCATTACAACAATGTTCATTTTCCTTCTGATACATAATCTGTTGCAACATTTGTCTTTGCGCTTCTGCCCAATTGATAGGAAACAGTGTGACAAAATTCCATGCCAGTCACCCTCATACAGAGTTTCTCAGACAGTGACATGACAAGCTAGGCTGGACAAAGACACAGAGCCACTTACAAGGCGAGACTACAACATCTGAAACACTATGTCAAAGCCGTCAGGTAAACAGAGCTGCACTGAGTTTTGTTGGATGCTCAGATTAGCATTTGTTTCTGATACGTGGCACATACTGTACTTGGCTGCCTGGTAAAGTTGTCAATGTGGTGGGGATGTGGAGGTGTTTTTGTTTGGTGACGTGTCCATGTCCCACATATACAGGTTTGCACGGCAATTGACAAGTGAAATTCTGTGACTTGGTCAGGAAGTGTTGCATGGAAGAATGGGCCAAAATATCAGCTACAGTGTGTGCAAAGCTGGTGGAAACCGACAAAAACTATTTGAGCTCTGTTATTGCCAACAAAGGTTATATTACAAGGTACAGGGCAGCCTGGTGGTTGACTGGTTAGCGCACCAGCCTCACAGTACGGTGGTGCGGGGTCTGTTTCCGGCTCCGGCCTCTCTGTGTGGAGTTTGCATGTTCTCCCCGTGCCTGTGTGGGTTTCCTCCCACATTCCAAAAACATGCCTGGTAGATTAATGGAAGACTCTAAATTGTCCCTAGGTATGAGTGTGAGCGCGGATGGTTGTTCTGTGTGTGCCCTGCGATTGGCTGGCAACCAGTTCAGGGTGTCCCCCGCCTACTGCCCGAAGACATATGGGATAGGCTCCAGCACGCCCCGCGACCCTTGTGAGGATAAACGGATCAGAAAATGGATTATGGAACTTACAAATAATTCTTTTAAAATCCTACAATGTGATTTACAGGATTTTTCCCCATACATTCAACTCTTACAGTTGAAGTGTTCCTATGTTGAAAATCACACACCTCTGATGTGGTTTTAAGTGGAAGAACTTGCACAATCGGTGGCTGACTAAATACATTTTTGCCGCACTGTAAGTCTCCTTTCAAATCACTGCATTGTGTATTTGGCACATAATAGCTGTAAATATTTTCCACATAATAGCTGTGAATATGTCTGTGCTTGTACTGAATCCCGCAGGTCTTATTCGGCACATATTAACTCGCATCCCAAAACCGGTTTCCATCCCTGACGTTGTGTTCCAATTCTTGAGGCGCACTAAATATTAATTTTTAAACATGGGCCAGGCCTAAAGTTCCATAAACCAATATGGTCAATGTTCAAACAATTTCATGTTCATATGTTATACCTTTTGAATTCTTGCATTGTTCTATTAGACATCACAATTCCACAGTCAGTTCTTACCTTTTCATTCATAGCTTTGTGATTCTTTTTGGTCTTCTTCAGAAACTGCTTCAAGCTTCCTGATGACATGTACTCAGTAATAAAAATCACCTAAGAGAGGATGTTAGGTCTTAGTGATGTTTGTATGAACATTTTAATAAAGAGCAGATATAAAGTAGAATATATACAAATTAAGTATCCACTATTTTACTTTTATTTTTTTTTATTCCGTTTATGAAGCCACTGGAATGTGTATTCAGTTGACATGACTCACCCGAGCTCGGTTCTCCTTGGTGTCAATCCAGTATTTGTGAAACTTGACAATATTTGCATGCTCCAAATGGATTAGGTTATCAAAAACAGCCTTCACTTTCTCCTGAACACAGCATGCAGATATGAAGTTTTAAAAATAATTTCACAACTAACAATCTACCGATTATTTATTTCTCATGTATTGAGGCCTGACCTCCAGCAGCTTGAAGTTCTTCCTCTCTGAGAACATGACTTCATTCCACACCACCTCCACCCCTTCCTCGGTATCCATGGCTAAGTATGCTGTGTCTATCCCGGGAACATTTCGCTGATTCACCTAAAGAAAGAAAAAAAAAAATCACTCACAAGATTCTATTTTAACTGCATGACAACAGCAACAATAATGGATGAATAATGCATTGCATGAATATTTTTTTTGTGGAGTAATTGAGTAATTGATTCTAATTACAGGAGTTGAAAATATTAACAATTAAAGGATTTTTAAAATTAAAATTACACAAAATAAAATAAAAATAACACAATTTTACATACATTTTCCCTGTATTTATTTTTACTTTCTGTCCACTTTAAATGTTAAATCTGGACCTTGAGCAAAAAAAGTTTCCCCAGACTTGCTCTAAATTTTCTGTAGGCATGAATGCTACTGGCTGTGTGTTCCTGTGTGTCCTGTGATTGTGTGTGAATGCTGCACTTCAAGTGGACCACCAAGATAGAATTCAATTCACATCACATTCGCCCATCTTGCCAATCCATCTGTCTGTCTGTCTCGTGTCTACTTATCACTCATCTGTCGATCCATCCAGTGGTCCAGCTATTCATCCAGCCACCTGTCTTGTCTGTCTGTCTTCCTTGCTTCTTACCTCTTCTCTGCGCTTCTGCCAACGGCCACAGGGACTCTCCTCCAGGATGTCAGACTCATCTTCACTTTCATCCTCCTCCTCAGTGGTGGTGGAGGCAGCGGGCTGTGTTGGGGCCCCACTTTGTACTGGCTGAGCATTACACGACATGTATCCCGCCGCGGAGTCGGTTTTGTTAGCCTCTGCAGGCGGGGGTCCTTTCCCCTCTGCCTCCGCAATCATGACACCACTTTTCCAGGCTGGATTGTCCTCCTCTCCTGCTACTGAGCTGTGTGAGCGACGGTGGGTCTTGTTCTTTTGAGTTAGTTACACGTCCATCTTCTCAGAAGGCTTGCTTTGAGATTCGCCGAGGCTGCAAAAACACATGACAGTTAGGTTAAAAGTGGGAGGAGTTAATTAAAAAAAACAATCACACAGAAGCCCTGACACTTCTGTCTTCTCTCGACGTCCTAAAAATCTGGTTGTAAGCATAGAACAAACTTTGCTCAGACACAAGGCTGAATTAAAAAACACACACACTTTACGACTCCAGTCCATTTAATTCACTTCTGTCTTTTGCTAATGCTCACCTTTAGCGTTTAAGACGTTGTCTTGCACTTCTTCGCTAACTTTCACAGCTAACGAGCTAATAAAGGTAAATAAAAAGCGTGCTAGCATGACATTAGGACGGCGTACACGAAAAAGTTTACCGTGTAGCACAAAGTTGACGCCACGACAAGTAATGGAGGGTTACATGTTGGTGGCAAAGGCGGCGAAGGGAAAAAAACGGGACAGTTAAACGACTTCGTCATGAAATTCGCTGTCGGTTTTCAAGTCTCTCAGTGGCAGGAGTGGGAGGGGCAGGGCAGCACTTGAGGAGCACCTCTTTGCGCTTCACGACGCAGTGTGACGTCATTGACTTAAAACAAATCTTAATTTTCGGGCATTTAAAACTTGAAATTAATTATAAATAATCACATAATGTTGCTTGATTGTAATTGTAGTGATTATATAACATAGTGTCAACTCTTTCATGGCATGTGAAAGCCAAATTAATGTTAAAATACATTTAGAACACGTTTTCCCCACAGTTGCCATGTCTTATAAATGACCATTGGGCCTATTGTATTAATCAAAAATAAGTATTTTTTTTTCACATTTTATTTTTATGAGAGACAGATGGGCCAAGTCATTCGTACACGACGTTTACAAAAAACAAAGAAACAAACAAAAACAACAAAAAGTGAAAATGTGTATGCTGAGCCGTTCATGTCAATAATAAGACCGCTATTTTCATTTTTTTAATTTGTTATTTATGATCAATTCTAAACAGTTTACAAGCAGTTCTAACTGTACAATTGATCTAATTATTATGAATCTCGTCAATATTGCAATTTCCATGTAAATTATCCATCCATCCATTTTCGAATCGTTTATCCTCAAAGGGTCGTCGCGCGCTGTGGAGGCTATCCCACTGTTTTCGGGCAGTAGGCGGGGGAACCCCTGAACTGGTTGTCAATCGCAGACATATGAAATAGTATGATCATGAAAGAAAAAACCAAATAAAAATTCATCACAAGTAATTAATCTAATAGAATGAACAAAATGTTATGTATGTTTATAATGTTATATGTATGTGTACAATTGCTCATTTACTAATATGTTTTACTTCAACATTCTAAAATAATGCAACAAATATCACAGAACTAGGGAGATCTAAATGTTCGGTGTCTTTTCGCTGTACATCAACCAATGTATAACCTTATTTAGTACCGGTTAAACTTAGCATACTGAACATGAAATACTGTACTTTCGGAAAACACGAGCTCTCTGGCACGCGGAAGTGTCTTCAGACGAAAGCGGAAGTTGTCAAAAGATATTGCTCTCACTCTAGATATGTACTCTCGGAATAGATGTTCACGTTGCAGCGCAAGATATTATTTACGATGAACACGAGAGGCTGTTGGTGATGCGAACGTGCCTGCTGGACGATGAAAGAGTCCTGACACTGTTACCATTTTGGATCTTAAACGTCCACAGTGTTTGATAGGATAGAAAAAAGGTCGGCCACATTTCGGTTGCGCGCTTTATTTAGGGGTGATTTCATGGAGCGGGCGGACGCGTCGGAGGGTGTCAGGCTGCAGGGTCCGGACACCAGATGAACTACAGTAATACATTTTAACGTGACGTTAGCATGCTAGCTGAGGTGATGAAGCACTGATTGTGAAATACTTTGAATCGCTCACATCATGGCGACCAACGGCTGCGACCTGACGACAGGGATGGGGGAAATCATCCAGCTGAACGTGGGTGGGACGCGGTGAGTCTTGTTCTGTAGGCATGATGGTCACCGTGGGCGTAATTTGAGAAACTGGAGTGTAAAATGAGATGTGCGTGGATGCTGTTTGCACATAATGCACTGCGTTTTTATTTTGCAGCAGTGCTCCTTTTCTTGGACCATGTTCATGCATGCGTTCAACTAGTCATCCTGCATTGGACAGCGTATCATATTATTAATAATAAGGTAACTATCTCTCCTGTGTTGTAGGTTCAGCACCTCCAGACAGACCCTCATGTGGATCCCTGACTCTTTCTTCTCGAGGTAACAACATTGTCATTATTCCTTCGCAAATTCGAAGAGATTGTGGGTTATCTGAGGAGAAGCATAGTCGTCATCACTCTCCCACAATACACGTCAGCTCAGTTAAGCGGCTTGATTATTGCAGAGAAGTAAACATGTTTCATTATCTCATCGTTGCCGCACTCTGTGTGTCACTTTTGGCTTCGGTAGTGCTATTGCTGGGAACACGATGCAATAAAATTGTAATCAGTTACGCCCCAAGATGATGAGACATTACTACATGAAGTTCCAAAACTAACTTTGACATAGTTCCTTACCACCAAGATACCCAAAGATGGTGACAAAACACTTCAGCATTGTTGCTTGGCACCAACATGCCACAAGATGACACCAACACAATGCTACAAACACACTAAATAACGAAGGATAGCTTTAAAACAAATAAATCAACAAATCGGCCATTTCAAGAGTGCTGAGCTGTGCTGTGGTAATGGAAAAGGGAATAATCTGTTCTTGGGTCACATTGTGGCCATCATAAAACTTTCAAGACATATTTTTCCCTGAAAACTATGATTTCTGTATTGAATAGCGTTTTACTTCAGGGGTCTTGTGGTGCACTTTGGAATTTAAAAAAAAAATGTCACGTCATTGAAGTTTTTGAATGTTTGGCATAGTTGTACTATCTTGTCCTGTTCTATCTCAGCCCAGCTGGAAATGGACTGCAGCGGAACAACTCCACACAAGGAACAAATATAAAACAGCATGTGAAAAGTCTCTTTCAGTCACATTAAGTGCCACTGTTTTCCATGAACTCATTTGCAAGTTGTCTTAACAGGTTACCGTTGAAATATTCATGACTGTTCTGCTTATCAGGGCTGCAGATATGTCTGACAATGCAGATGCACGTCAATGGGTGCATGCTTGTGTTAACTGATGTGTGTGTATATGTTGCAGTCTGCTGAGTGGAAGAATATCCACTCTTCGGGATGAAACTGGAGCTGTAAGTACAGACTTTGTTTACGCATCCAAAACGAGGACAGATCATTTTTTTTGATGATGCAGCATACTGGTGAAACCCAGAGTGTTTGATAATCCAAATACGTATATATATATATATATATATATTATATATATATATATATATATTTTTTGTCTAAGTACCTGGAAACTGTTTTTATTTTGTGTAGAAAAATGCATTATAATGTATGCCTCCTTTTGAATTCCATGAATGTAACATTCAAGGCAAAGGTCATAATTCTCAGTCAATGTACCATAATATATATTCCTAATATTAAATCAGTTAAATCAATCTCCTTTTTTCCTTGTATAGATATTTATTGACAGAGACCCCATGGCCTTTGCACCGATTTTAAATTTCCTCCGAACCAAAGAACTGGACCTGCGGTCAGAAACCCACTCAAACGTTACACTCAGATGTACAGAAATTAATCAATCAACTTAGTATGTTTTTTTTTCCTTTTTTTAAATTTGTAGCGGCGTCAACATCAGTGTTCTGCGGCATGAAGCTGAATTCTATGGCATAACTCCCTTAGGTAAGTATTGGCGGAAAAGCGGATTTTCTAGTTGTCTTTGTAGTAACTGGCCCATCGTCTATTGAGTGTGCTCCTGCGGCCGATATGCTGTCATCTCATCATTTGTCAGAATGAGCACAACAACTGCAATAGAATTTGATTTATATTAACTGAAGTCAGCACTCCCATGAACGTGATTGTTTTACTTCCTGTTCCACTGTTGGAACTTCCCGTCATTGTCATTGTTCTTGAATAGAAGAGGTTACCTTTGTGGTCACTAATCGAGAAGTGTGCCGACGTGTCTCAGCGGTTTATGAATATAATACAGTAAGAATTAAAACAGTGGGCAATTGATTTAAATGACCATGATTACCCCAGTTTAATGCCGATCGGGATACAGTTATGGATCCAGATTAGAGATGCTGTTTAATAGCATCTTCAAAGTCTGAAAAAACATGTTTACAACATTGGATACAAGGGTTGCCATTTTTAGCTCTTGTCGCTCTTACAAGAATGGGACATATTTTGGCTAATTCTGGCTTCGCGAAATGCCAGAGTACCTTTCTTGATGAAAAAAACAAACAAGTAAGCATTCAGCAACAATATGCTATATATTTGATTTCATTACACAAAGAACACTGAATACAATAATCATGTCTGTATTTTACAGGCACATCTTCATAAATTAGCATATGGTGGAAACCAAATGAAGTTTGGTTTTTCAACTCAAAAACTGAAACTTCTATGAATTCACAATGCACAGAGTGAACATTTTCATGAATTTCCTCTTAAATATAAGTGAACCTGTACTTAGGCAGTGATGTCAACAGACTTTGAGGAATCTCTGGCTTGGAGCTAGCAAAAGCCGCAAATTCAACATCTGAAGGACATTGCTTCAAAACAGGCTGAATATTGAAATTTGATCGGAATTGGCCTTCTGAAAAGTATTTCATATGGTTCATCATTTGAAGTGAACTACTTGAAACTTTTTCTGGGATATTCAAATTGATGTAGACACTTCCGGATTAAAAAGAAATGAGTTTGTGTGTCTAGTGCGGCGCCTTCTGCTGTGTGAAGAACTGGACCGCTCATCATGTGGCAGCGTTCTTTTCCATGGTTACCTTCCGCCTCCAGGTAAAACCCACTTACGCCTGTTTGTTAGATCATAAAAAAAAAAAATTTAAAAAAAGTTGGCACAACAGTGTTGCTTCTTTCTCAGCTATTCCTGGCCACAAGTCAAGCGCCACCTCTTCCTGTGACGAACGTTCAGATCCGAGTGGAGCAGAGGGATTCAGCTATGTTGGTGCCCTTCCTCATCCTCCCCTCCCCTGTTCACCGGGATTAGATGAAACTCATAAACTGGGTGAGTGACTCAAAGAAGGTCCGCGTGTTTGCGCATGAGGCTGTTGGATATCACGTGGGCCGTTCCCTGTTCAGGACCAGACCCTCGCAAGGTGCTGATCATAGCCGGACACCACAATTGGATTGTAGCAGCGTATGCACACTTTGTCATCTGCTACAGGTAATTCTGCCGCAGCAAAACAAGTAAGACACTTATAGGACCGGCTGCAACTCGTTCTATCCCGCACCATCAAGCGGTCTCAAACGCTGACAAGATGTTCTTTACAGGATAAAGGAATCTACCGGATGGCAACAGGTGTTCTCCTCTCCCTGCCTTGACTGGACCATTGAACGCATCGCACTGAATGCCAAGGTGGTGGGCGGCCCGCACGGAGACAAGGACAAGATGGTGGCCGCCGCGTCCGAAAGCAGCATCATCCTCTGGAGCATCCAAGATGGAGGCAGTGGCAACGAGATCGGTAGACGAGGGGACAACAGGAACTGAACGATGCTTGATAGGCTTGATTGAATCCAGACTCTTACCGGTGTTTTGTATTTCATGTGTCCCCGCCAGGCGTGTTCAGCCTGGGAGTGCCTGTGGATGATCTCTTCTTCATCGGAAACCAACTGGTGGCGACGAGCCACACTGGCAAGGTCGGAGTGTGGAATGCTGTCACGCAGCACTGGCAGGTATGTTGAGTGGACGTCGTTGTGTGCTGCTCATGGACTGTACTTATACGTGTCCTGGAGGGACAAATATAGTTTTATTACTCTACATTTGTCCGCTAGTGTCGCTGTGTTTTTTTTTTTTTGTGCAGTGCAAAAAAAAACAAAAAAAAACCCTTTATCGCGAGGATATAGTAAGCAGTTACTAAATCCTAGCGATAAAGTTTTTTTTTTAATGTTTTTTTTTACAGTGTACACTGTTTTCCCGCATATTCACATTCATTGATCCGTTTTTGGGTGCCTATCCTTCATTATCCACAGAAAACCCACCTGTTTGCTATATTTGTGCTCAGGCCAAAACAGTAGTGCTGCTTTCGCGTCATCTTCACTACAAGAAACTATGTTGAAGTGAGTTGAACAGCTTCATCTTGACAAGCGTAGTACTTTGGGTGCCAAGGGATAATGTTGAAGTGCATTGAGGAGTTTCGTTGAGGCAAAAAAAAAAAAAAAGTGATTTGCCGCCATCTTTTGCCACATATAGGCATTCATAGTTTTTTGTGTTGATGGAGGTCAACAAATATCGGAGAATGTCTACCATTTCAGAGACAGAAATTTCAGAGGTGTATTATTCATCGTCACAACCGTTTCATACTGTATATGTACTGTACCTATAGAAATATATATTATTTATGTTGACATATTTATATCGCATATTTAATCAGCTTCTGAGGCACTTCTAGTTAGGTGCGATTTGAAGTTTTTGTTATTTCACGTGTGTGTATTGAGAAAGTTTACTCTAATTATAGCGAGGTGACTGCTGCTTTTGTGTGCACGTGCCAGGTTCAAGATGTTGTTCCCATCACGAGCTGCGACACGGCCGGATCCTTCCTGTTACTAGGTTGCAACAATGGCTCCATCTACTACATTGGTACACGCATACAAACACGCAAGTCGTCTTCCGACAAGTTGCCAAAATGTTGTCTCTTGAACTGTAACACAAATTCCTTTTGTCAGACATGCAAAAGTTTCCACTGAGGATGAAAGACAACGATCTCTTGGTGACGGAGCTTTATCACGATCCCTCAAACGATGCCATCACCGCACTGTCTGTCTACCTCACGCCTAAAACCAGTCAGTAATACAATATTACACTAAAGAGGAATGAAATAATAATAAGCAACATAGTCAGTAATACAATATTACACTAAAGAGGAATGAAAAATAAGCAACATCGTTTTAGGAGTCTTTTTTCTTAAAACTACAACTTCCAAAACCCAGAGAAATGTGCAAAGTTACTGGAAATTTGCAGTTATAGATATAAGACACAAAGGCTGGAAAATGTGCAACCACAAAGATGCATAAATATAGTAAGAACATTATTAATACCATGCACAAAATACATATAAAATATATGGAAAATGTGCAATGACAGGAAGCATATGTAGTTTTATGAAGTTGACTTTTTGCTTACCTCTTCAGGTGTGAGCGGGAACTGGATTGAAATCGCCTACGGGACCAGCAGTGGCGCAGTGAGAGTCATCGTGCAGCACCCAGAGACGGTCGGCTCGGGCCCTCAGCTCTTCCAGACTTTCACCGTGCACAGGAGCCCCGTGACCAAAATCATGTTGTCTGAGAAACACTTAGTCTCAGGTGAGTGGGCGTAGTCACAATAGCAGACCCGAGAGAATAATGAAGGCGAAGATCACGATTGTTACGTCCTCTCCTGTTCATTCTCCGCTGGCGACAGTGTGCGCCGACAACAACCACGTTCGCACGTGGACGGTGACCCGCTTCCGAGGGATGATTTCCACCCAGCCGGGTTCCACACCCTTGGCCTCCTTCAAAATCCTCTCGTTGGAGGAAACCGAGAGCCACAGCAGCTACTGTTCAGGAAACGACATTGGTGAGAAGAGCCATTCTAGTACCCTGAAGTTCATTGAAGTCTTCATCCGCACGAGGTGACGCGTTGTGCTCTCAGGTCCATTTGGAGAGCGAGATGATCAGCAAGTATTCATCCAGAAGGTCGTCCCCATCACCAACAAGCTCTTTGTGAGGCTCTCGTCCACTGGGAAAAGGTGTGTTCATCGCCGAAGAAAAAGCAATAGATGTGAAGGCTGTGCTATTACTTGGTCGAGTAAAAATGTATTTGTCAGTGGGATTTTACTTTTCCAGTAGATTATTTTTAGTGGCAGTTCTGCTGACTTGCACTGCTTACGGTGACAACATGATGCCAACATCGAGGGGCTTGTTTAAAAAAAAAAACAAAAAAAAAACCACACACACATTACAGTCAGCATTGCCAAATTAGCAGTATGCTCACCAGATTTAGCAACTTTTCAAATGGCTCTAGTGATTATTTTTGATCAACCCGACTAGCGAGTTTAATACCCGCTAAGAGACAAACAAGGTGAAAAATAATAGAATCATTTTCATGTTGTTTGTAGTGTGACAAAAAGGAGCTCTGTGAGACAATCACAGTCAATCGTGCTGGATATTGGCCAAGAATTAGTGTCCATTTAAATGTTGCAAAAGCAATAAATTATTATTTTTTTATCATCGTTGTTGGAAATTTTTGACTCTTATTTTTCAATGTTACATTAAAAAAAAAAACTCGAAGAAACAGTTTCATAGTTTGGTATCGGGAGAAACAAAATTAAATGAAACAGTAATGCCATTCTTTTTTTCAGTGAAGGGGGGAAAATGATACTGTACGTTATTATTACTTGGTAACTACATTGCCATGAGAAACTCTTCCTGTCATTTTTTTTTTTTTTTTTTTGGGTGAATGACTTATAAGACACGATATAAAAACTCAACGCAACCAGTTGCGCCGCTATTACTCTACTGTTTTCAAGCAGATCAGGGAGGAAAAATCTCTCGAAACAGCCCTTGCCACAAGATAACCACTCAACGATCATCTTTCTGAGACATCTGATTATTTCATTTTACACCGCCTTTTTTTTCCTGTTTTTTCAATTTTGAACTTGAACTTCTTGTGTCCTAGAATCTGTGAAGTGCAGTCGGTGGACGGGACCACCATCTCTTGCTTTATGGTGCGGGAATGCGAGGGTTCAAGCCGGATGGGCTCGCGACCTCGCCGCTATCTGTTCACCGGTCACGGCAACGGCAGCATCCAATTGTGGGACCTGACCACCGCCATGGACACTGCCAACAAAGGAGAGGAGAAGAAGAAAGACGGCAAGTGTTATGTGATTCCGTGGTGGCTTACTTTGTGCCACATTGCTGTGTCATCATGTCCAAAAATCTGAGAAACATTGTCGTAGAGACACCGAGTTCAATGTGAGGCGAACTGAAAATGGGTCTGTTGCGTAGATGTCGGCGGTCCCACCGAGGAGGAACTTCTGCAGCTGTTGGACCAATGTGACCTGAGCACGTCCCGCTGCGCCACGCCAAACGTTAGCCCCGCACCCTCGGTGCTGCACAACCCACGCCTCAGAGAATCTTGCTCAAGGTAAAGAGAAGAAGAAGAAACGCAGCCCTTTCACAAACCGTCACATCACCGCCGGCGTGGTCTGTCCTCCGTCAGTGTGCAATTACAGGCTCAGGAAGTCATTCCCGAGAACCAGGTGACGTATGGAGCTGTGCGGCCCTACAGGGAGAGCCCCCTTCTTGCCCGCGCCAGAAGAACAGAGTCCTTCCACAGCAACAGGTCTGTCCATCATAGCTGTTAGCATAGCTAGCATCCTCCTGTTGCCCACCTCCTCCAGACTGTCCAGTGAGCAGACCAGGACAGAGCTGGCCCTCCTGACCAGTCGGTCCAGTCTCTCCCTGTCCCGGGCTGAGATGCTGCCTGGATCGGCAGGACAGGCAGTTTTGAAAATAGATGGGTGGACAACTTATTCAAAACTAGCTTACTCCGTTCAGTAAACTAGATCAAAATTGGCTTACCTCCATCTTTGTCCACAGAGACTTCCAGAACTTCAGCCTGAGTCGTGACATCTTGGACAGCACAGATCAGAGCTCCGGTCATCCCGCGGACGCCCGCCGTTCCCTCTGTGATTTTGGGTCCGAGGAGGGTGAGAGGAGGTTGTCCGCCATGGAGCTGTGGACCTGCCGCAGCAACAACGCAAACAACGCACACGCTTCGACCGCTCCCGGCAGGACGAAGGCCGACGGCGGGAGTCAGGAATGTCCACGGCAGACCCCGGACAGCCCCGTCCCCGGAGGAGCCGACGTCAGACGGAAAGTGCACCTGCACCCCGAGGAGGGGGACTGCGCAGGAGCCGCTGCAGATGGGGCGAAAGCGGAGGGAAGCGCCAAGAAGAGGGGAGTGCTGGAGGTGGGCTTTCTGGGAAGGAAGAGGGCGCCCCCGGTCCCTCTCCTATCCTCGGGATCCGAAGGCGGCGGCAGCGACTCCTCCGCCAACGCTTCTCCTTCCCCCACCAAACTGACGTCCTGCACGTCGCCACGACACAGGAAATTCACCGCTGAGCCGTCTAGTCAGGACAGCAGCCTGTGACCGATTCCTCCCACGGTTCAAAAACTTGCGACTGACAGGTGTTCAGTCCAATATCTACCCACTATCTCATACGTAGGTTGGATTCACATTGCAAGGTTTGAAAAGTTTGAGTTATGCAATTCCATTCAATTAGAATTCTTCAATAGGAATAAATGGGAATGAACAGGAATACAGGTAGATGGAAACTAAAAAGGAATTGAAGGTTGGCTCTTGAGAGGGAATTCAAATATATTTGGTGAAAATATATATTTTGACACCTTAAATAGAATAATTAAGGTACTGTTATGTCCTCGCATGTGGACAAGGAACGCTGTCGAAGATCTAGGTTGCATGGATGTCTGTCGATTTATGCTTCAATATGATACCTCACCATTAAGTTACCAGTTCGTCTAAATCGAAACTACAACGAAAGCATCCCATATGGTCTAAATCTGTGACATCAGAGCGTCATAGAACACTAGCTAAAATATCTGCTGTAAGCGGCTCCTGGTATAATGTGGAGGTTATCCTCAATTAAATCGAATGAGCCAACTAAAACACTAGGTTTAAATAACTGTATTATTTGTGTATTATTCATATGTGATGACTTGAAATGTACATGGAAATAGTTAGTCCAAACAAATAGGCTGCAGTCAGTCTGAATTGGGCACTTGGAACTGCAGCGTAAATCCAGCCTAAGTCACCAGGGTGAAACTCCAGCTAAACTGCGAGCCTGAACTGGACGAGCCGATGTTAATGGAAACGGCAACATAAACTGGAGTCAAATGGTACAAGACATTCCCATAAAAGTGAATACATAATATACAGTGTTCCCTTGCTATAACGCTGTTCACCTTTTGCGGGCTTGCTGTTTCGCAGATTTTTTTTTCAGCATATTATGCTTTTTTTAACTGTAAAATACAGTCCTGCGAATGGAAAAAACCTCCATCCTTTTTCTAATCTGCTTATCCTCACAAAGGTCACGGGCGTGCTGGAGCCTCTCCCAGCTGTCTTCGGGGAGTAGGCGGGGGACACCCTGAATTGGTTGCCAGCCACTTGCAAGGCACAAACAATCATTCGCACTCACAGTCACACTGATTGACAATTTAGAGTGTTCAGTTAACCTGCCATGCATGTTTGTGGAATGTGGGAGGAAACGGGAGTACCCAGAGAAAACCCACGCAGGCACGGGGAGAACATGCAAACTCCGCACAGTAAGCCCGGAGCCGGAATCGAACCTTGCACCTGTGCACTGTGAGGCGGACATTTATGAAACAAAAAAAAAAAAAAAAAAATCTACCAAGCAAAAACAATACCTCCCCCATCAACCTTTACTTCGCAGATTTCACTTTTCGCGGGTATTTTTTTGGAACATAACCCCTGCGACAAACGAGGGAACACTGTATTACGTACAAATTTAGAGCAGTGTAATGTCCTGAAAGCATTTTACCGACAGTAAAACAAAAAGGGTTTTACAAGATACACATCAGCAATGTGCAGACAAACAAGATGGTCACATAGCGACGAGAAATGCAAGGTGTCTGCTTCCTGCTTCCAGTCTGCATTCACCACTTGTTTGATCACTTGTTTTCTCATGCTTCATTGCATTGAAAGGCACATACAGGACATTCGATACACGTGCTAAGCATGCGTCATTAAAAAAAATACAATAAAAATAAAGTAAGTATATTGTGACTCACGTTGATAAAACAGTTTAGGGAAATTGACTACTTTAAAAGTGTTTGCTACCTTTTAATACTAATAGTCTAATACATTATTTTAATGAAGCTTTTTTTTTTATATTTAATGTTTTTCACAGTGGTGCCTGCCTGTGCAAGATTACACAAATAATTTCTATTTTTACAATTTCACAAGGATCCTACACTGCATCACTTTATCATGTTTTTCTCATCTTGTGTGTGTGTGCCTTAGTCGACCTGATTTGACGCTTATTAGCCTGTTGCTTTAAAAGACAATAGTTGTCACAGCACAAAAGGGCATCAGCATGAGGCGGACGGCATGAAATAATTGTGATCAATATCAACGATCCGTGTTGTAAATAGTCGATTATAACTGGAAAGCGTGACAGTTTGTGCAGCCATTCCAAGGTGACTCTTCACCCTAGTTAGCTGCATGTGTTCTGTTAACAGTATGCACCTACCTATATGTCGCACTTGGTGTTTTTACCTAAAGCCTTGCATCATACTGGAAAATACGGACAAAAGGCTAAATACGAGTAAAGAGAAGAGTCATGTGCAACATCCTTGGAATACATTCAAAGAAGTTGTCGCACTAAATGAAATCCTACTATGATGGATTCATACCTGCAATTTTTTGGTCGTCCTGTGTATTGTTGAGAATCAGATCTATATACCACACACACACACACACACACACACACACACACACACACACACACACACACACACACACACACACACACACACAACTGATGCTATTGGACCTGACTGCATTTGCACTATGAACACATATATTTTATATACAAGTATATAATAAATGTATCAATGTGTTACCATTCAAGTTGTTCCCTGGTTGTGTTTACATGCTGAAATCCGTGTGTGTTACAATAATAAATCATTGTTCTTGAACTGTCATATGGAATACCACTTCCAGTTGCCTACAGCTGTGTCTCCTCAGTGGACATTTTGGACGCTCCAATAAAGAATTATCATGCAGTCAAGTTGTTTGGTCATTGGGTGTCTTGGTCTCGACTCTATTCTCTGTTGGGCCCAATTTGACAATTTTTTGGGATAGTTGCCATTTGTCCTGAAGCAGAAATGTCTGATAGCGATCACTATTATTAGCCGAATGGAGGTTCAAATATGACCAAGACAACTATGCTATTAGGCCAGTGCTTATTTTCTTTTATGGCACCAGCCTCGAAAGAAGAAAACATTTCCCGTCCCCAAGAACTGTCCGCCGTGATTCTAAATTGAATCGTTTGTCAATAAATTTGTTTTAAGTGCAGCTGTATGGCATTGTAACCTTATTAATATAAATGAAAGAAAATGGGGGGGGGGCAACTTTAATATTGTTTTTAGTCTGTAACACAAGATTTTTGCCTGGAATTCAAACAAACATTAAATTCCCATTTGAACTATGAACATGTTTTGACCATATGATACTGAAAAATACAATTAAAAAAAATCAATAAATTGTGAGTTCAAATTGACTAGTAATTTTAACAGGGATGTGTCCAAGGACCGGCAACCCGAGGCCAAGGCCAAGGCCAAGGACTTGGAAAATTTTCCGAGGCAAGGCCAAGGCCAAGGACTTGGAAAATTTTCCGAGGCAAGGCCAAGGCCAAGGACTTGGAAAATTTTCCGAGGCAAGGCCAAGGCCAAGGACTTGGAAAATTTTCCGAGGCAAGGCCAAGGCCAAGGACTTGGAAAATTTTCCGAGGCAAGGCCAAGGCCAAGGACTTGGAAAATTTTCCGAGGCAAGGCCAAGGCCAAGGACTTGGAAAATTTTCCGAGGCAAGGCCAAGGCCAAGGACTTGGAAAATTTTCCGAGGCAAGGCCAAGGCCAAGGACTTGGAAAATTTTCCGAGGCAAGGCCAAGGCCAAGGACTTGGAAAATTTTCCGAGGCAAGGCCAAGGCCAAGGACTTGGAAAATTTTCCGAGGCAAGGCCAAGGCCAAGGACTTGGAAAATTTTCCGAGGCAAGGCCAAGGCCAAGGACTTGGAAAATTTTCCGAGGCAAGGCCAAGGCCAAGGACTTGGAAAATTTTCCGAGGCAAGGCCAAGGCCAAGGACTTGGAAAATTTTCCGAGGCAAGGCCAAGGCCAAGGACTTGGAAAATTTTCCGAGGCAAGGCCAAGGCCAAGGACTTGGAAAATTTTCCGAGGCAAGGCCAAGGCCAAGGACTTGGAAAATTTTCCGAGGCAAGGCCAAGGCCAAGGACTTGGAAAATTTTCCGAGGCAAGGCCAAGGCCAAGGACTTGGAAAATTTTCCGAGGCAAGGCCAAGGCCAAGGACTTGGAAAATTTTCCGAGGCAAGGCCAAGGCCAAGGACTTGGAAAATTTTCCGAGGCAAGGCCAAGGCCAAGGACTTGGAAAATTTTCCGAGGCAAGGCCAAGGCCAAGGACTTGGAAAATTTTCCGAGGCAAGGCCAAGGCCAAGGACTTGGAAAATTTTCCGAGGCAAGGCCAAGGCCAAGGACTTGGAAAATTTTCCGAGGCAAGGCCAAGGCCAAGGACTTGGAAAATTTTCCGAGGCAAGGCCAAGGCCAAGGACTTGGAAAATTTTCCGAGGCAAGGCCAAGGCCAAGGACTTGGAAAATTTTCCGAGGCAAGGCCAAGGCCAAGGACTTGGAAAATTTTCCGAGGCAAGGCCAAGGCCAAGGACTTGGAAAATTTTCCGAGGCAAGGCCAAGGCCAAGGACTTGGAAAATTTTCCGAGGCAAGGCCAAGGCCAAGGACTTGGAAAATTTTCCGAGGCAAGGCCAAGGCCAAGGACTTGGAAAATTTTCCGAGGCAAGGCCAAGGCCAAGGACTTGGAAAATTTTCCGAGGCAAGGCCAAGGCCAAGGACTTGGAAAATTTTCCGAGGCAAGGCCAAGGCCAAGGACTTGGAAAATTTTCCGAGGCAAGGCCAAGGCCAAGGACTTGGAAAATTTTCCGAGGCAAGGCCAAGGCCAAGGACTTGGAAAATTTTCCGAGGCAAGGCCAAGGCCAAGGACTTGGAAAATTTTCCGAGGCAAGGCCAAGGCCAAGGACTTGGAAAATTTTCCGAGGCAAGGCCAAGGCCAAGGACTTGGAAAATTTTCCGAGGCAAGGCCAAGGCCAAGGACTTGGAAAATTTTCCGAGGCAAGGCCAAGGCCAAGGACTTGGAAAATTTTCCGAGGCAAGGCCAAGGCCAAGGACTTGGAAAATTTTCCGAGGCAAGGCCAAGGCCAAGGACTTGGAAAATTTTCCGAGGCAAGGCCAAGGCCAAGGACTTGGAAAATTTTCCGAGGCAAGGCCAAGGCCAAGGACTTGGAAAATTTTCCGAGGCAAGGCCAAGGCCAAGGACTTGGAAAATTTTCCGAGGCAAGGCCAAGGCCAAGGACTTGGAAAATTTTCCGAGGCAAGGCCAAGGCCAAGGACTTGGAAAATTTTCCGAGGCAAGGCCAAGGCCAAGGACTTGGAAAATTTTCCGAGGCAAGGCCAAGGCCAAGGACTTGGAAAATTTTCCGAGGCAAGGCCAAGGCCAAGGACTTGGAAAATTTTCCGAGGCAAGGCCAAGGCCAAGGACTTGGAAAATTTTCCGAGGCAAGGCCAAGGCCAAGGACTTGGAAAATTTTCCGAGGCAAGGCCAAGGCCAAGGACTTGGAAAATTTTCCGAGGCAAGGCCAAGGCCAAGGACTTGGAAAATTTTCCGAGGCAAGGCCAAGGCCAAGGACTTGGAAAATTTTCCGAGGCAAGGCCAAGGCCAAGGACTTGGAAAATTTTCCGAGGCAAGGCCAAGGCCAAGGACTTGGAAAATTTTCCGAGGCAAGGCCAAGGCCAAGGACTTGGAAAATTTTCCGAGGCAAGGCCAAGGCCAAGGACTTGGAAAATTTTCCGAGGCAAGGCCAAGGCCAAGGACTTGGAAAATTTTCCGAGGCAAGGCCAAGGCCAAGGACTTGGAAAATTTTCCGAGGCAAGGCCAAGGCCAAGGACTTGGAAAATTTTCCGAGGCAAGGCCAAGGCCAAGGACTTGGAAAATTTTCCGAGGCAAGGCCAAGGCCAAGGACTTGGAAAATTTTCCGAGGCAAGGCCAAGGCCAAGGACTTGGAAAATTTTCCGAGGCAAGGCCAAGGCCAAGGACTTGGAAAATTTTCCGAGGCAAGGCCAAGGCCAAGGACTTGGAAAATTTTCCGAGGCAAGGCCAAGGCCAAGGACTTGGAAAATTTTCCGAGGCAAGGCCAAGGCCAAGGACTTGGAAAATTTTCCGAGGCAAGGCCAAGGCCAAGGACTTGGAAAATTTTCCGAGGCAAGGCCAAGGCCAAGGACTTGGAAAATTTTCCGAGGCAAGGCCAAGGCCAAGGACTTGGAAAATTTTCCGAGGCAAGGCCAAGGCCAAGGACTTGGAAAATTTTCCGAGGCAAGGCCAAGGCCAAGGACTTGGAAAATTTTCCGAGGCAAGGCCAAGGCCAAGGACTTGGAAAATTTTCCGAGGCAAGGCCAAGGCCAAGGACTTGGAAAATTTTCCGAGGCAAGGCCAAGGCCAAGGACTTGGAAAATTTTCCGAGGCAAGGCCAAGGCCAAGGACTTGGAAAATTTTCCGAGGCAAGGCCAAGGCCAAGGACTTGGAAAATTTTCCGAGGCAAGGCCAAGGCCAAGGACTTGGAAAATTTTCCGAGGCAAGGCCAAGGCCAAGGACTTGGAAAATTTTCCGAGGCAAGGCCAAGGCCAAGGACTTGGAAAATTTTCCGAGGCAAGGCCAAGGCCAAGGACTTGGAAAATTTTCCGAGGCAAGGCCAAGGCCAAGGACTTGGAAAATTTTCCGAGGCAAGGCCAAGGCCAAGGACTTGGAAAATTTTCCGAGGCAAGGCCAAGGCCAAGGACTTGGAAAATTTTCCGAGGCAAGGCCAAGGCCAAGGACTTGGAAAATTTTCCGAGGCAAGGCCAAGGCCAAGGACTTGGAAAATTTTCCGAGGCAAGGCCAAGGCCAAGGACTTGGAAAATTTTCCGAGGCAAGGCCAAGGCCAAGGACTTGGAAAATTTTCCGAGGCAAGGCCAAGGCCAAGGACTTGGAAAATTTTCCGAGGCAAGGCCAAGGCCAAGGACTTGGAAAATTTTCCGAGGCAAGGCCAAGGCCAAGGACTTGACTCCCAAGGCCGAGGCCAAGGCCAAGGACCAAGGACCGACCTTCGGTCCTCGAGCCGGTCCTCGAGGCCAAGGACCGGCTCGAGGAACACATCCCTGAATTTTAACTCAGCACACAATATTTAAAACACTTGAACCTACAAAAGTCAGGATTAGTGGCTACAATGAGCACGTTTCAGAGTCCACATCTTTTCGAAGCTGATTTAGGGAAAAAAAAATGTTGCGGAGTTCAACTACAGTCCGGCGATACTCCCTGCAGTCTAACAACGGGAGCACCACTGCCACCCACTGTTACAGTAAAAGTAGTGCAATTACACTTACCCATTATGGAAAACATAAATAAATTTTTTCGCCGGTGTCAGACATAACCCAAACTATTTGCCTAATTATTAGGCTACCGTTATAGATTTCAAACGAAAAAATGTCAAGGTAGCTGAAATCATACATTTATGAAACTTTTACCCATGTCAAAGGTCAGCTCAGGCCTCCGTTGTTGCCCACACTGTAAAAATGAATCCATTATTACAATATAATGACTAACCAATACAGTAAAACAGTTGATCTTCAATAATTTTTTATGGAGGCCTATCAATCCAGAAGCCTTACTGATGTTGAACAAGTTCAGCTGGAAGATGATGAAGGTGATTGGGGTCAAAGGTGTTCATCTGTGAGTACATTGTTGGACCATGTAGTTAACCAACAAAAACAAACAAAAAAAAAAAATCAAACAATAACAGCTGAATTTCCACCTGAACACGTGGGGGGTGGGTGTATCTTCATTTCACTAACCTCCTCGTTCAGACTGTCTCCTCTTTTGAGACAGCGCATGTCGTCACAATGATTTATGACTTTAATAAAACTCTGTGTGTGTGTGTGTGTGTGTGTGTGTGTGTGTGTGTGTATGCGTGCGTGCACGTGTAGCTCAGGGCCACACTGTCCTTTACAATCACTCCACACGCTCTCATTTCACCACCTCTCTCTCCTCCCTCTGTGGCTGACAGTAGCTGTGAACAAGCCCATGAGTGTGTGCGTGTGTGTGTGTGTGTGTGCGCGCGCGCCCTTGACTGGTGACCTTGAGTGAGGCCGTTGTTCTCACTGCCACTTTCCTCCATTTTCCAACTTGCCTTGATGCTCCCCGAAGGGATACGGGGGGCAAAAAGTAAATTAACGCTAAGTCTTTTCGTATAGTAAGACCAGCTCCCGTGTGTGTGTGTGTGTGTGTGTGTGTGTGTGTGTGTGTGTGTGTGTGTGTGTGTGTGCGTGTGCGTGTGTATACAGTACACGTACAGTACGCGTGAACTAAGCCAATGTTTGGTGAACTCAGCAGAAAATATCATTGGTTTGATTGAAAAAAGTTGCAGGTTTGGTCTCCATGAAAAGTGTTGATTATTTCTACTGCTCTCCTCCTCTAAATACAGTTTTAATGTTGGTCCCCATGACTTAAGTGTAAACATGTCATCATTTTACAAAGTCAACGGATGGATAACGCATTAAAGTGACGCAACAAACTTTCAAAATCACGATACGTTCATTATTGTTATCTTTGTAATGGAAGAAATTACGGTAAATCATTTGAATATCGGGGCGCTATGGCAACTCAAACGGTACAGTTAAGCAGTTACATTTATTTATATTTTTATAAACACATTTTAACCATTATTGGATAACATATGAAATTACTGGTAAATTAAATATGATGAGGTAGCCTTGTTTCAATGAGTGTTTTAGTACTTTTCTGTTGTGTGTGTGTGTGTGTGTGTGTGTGTGTGTGTGTGTGTGTGTGTGTGTGTGTGTGTGTGTGTGTGTGCGCAGTAAATAAAAGAAAAATAAGAGTGGCGAGTGTATTGGCCACATCGCTTATATTTGACGTCATCTATACATAATTAATTTACAGCAAACATAAATAATACTGCCACAGTAAAAACAAAAAAAAACATGTCATAACATTATACAGGTATTATCTTTCGTTTTGTCCAGAAGTAAACACTGGAGTCCCGTGTACACACCATAATATGCAACGTAGCTAAGTTGTAACTGCTTCTAAGCTACACAAAACCTTTGCACAATAAAAATAATGAGTTCACTTTATGTCAATGAAAACAGCGCAATAATGCATCCCGGGAACACTGCGAGAAATAGTTGGCATTCAAAAACTAACAGACAAGGAAGGCCTTGAGAAGCAACGTCAGTCCGCTCCAGGACGACTGGCAAGTGTTTCGATGAGGCACAGTAACTTGCGGAAGCAGCTAACAGGAAGGCAATCTACTAAAAACTACACTAAAAATATAAATATTAAATACATGAATGAGGTCAAATTCAAGTTCCATACACAATATTATTTTCTATGAACTAAAAGGTGTCCATGCGTACACCATGTGGGTCTGCTTCGGTACATACTAGAATGGAGGTCATCTAATAACCATGAATTAGTCTTACGGTACTTGACTGGGCGTGGTGTCTTAAAGATGTGTGTCAGTGAAGGTGGCCTGCTCCTTTCTCACGCAACTTAAAGACTTGATGGCATCTGCAAAGTCTTCCTCCACATACTGAAACAACAATATCGCATCTTCAGATTACCCATCCAGCGTGGATATTAAAAGTTTTCACACTCCTGTTCAAATGCAATGATTTGGGGGTAAATCAGAGGTAGTATGCTCACTCCCACTTAACATCTTGAAAATATATATTTTTTTTCCATTTGACTTATCCTATACCTAAATTTAGCTGGGGTTGATTGATCCTTATGAATGGCAGAAAAGGTTTTGATACCATTTGGCTTTTTTTTTTTTTTTTTTTTTTTAATGACAAATATCATGGGATTTTAACAGAGGTGTGTGGACATCAAGCTATCGATGTCATCTCACCAGAGGTGGTTCCAAAGGGTTGTCCCAACAGCCCTCTTCCGTTACCAGAGCCTTCCTGTCAATCAGCTGGCTGAGGCTCTGATGCAAGGGATGATGGGAGTAGGCTTGGTTCAGGTCTGATTGCCTGGGGACCCTCAGGACAGACATGGGGTTGAATGCAGAGCCGCCGCCCACTAGCTTGGTGTCTGACAGGCCCTGAAATGTACATTTGGAATGTACGGTTACTTAACAATTCTGTTGTATGCATGAAGCAGCGTTTCTCAGTATTTCGTGAGCCAGGGCACAGGTTTTACATGAGAAAAATCTCAAGGCACACCCAGCAAACAAAAAAAAAATAGCACAAAAAGTATCTTCTTCAGGATAGTCAGCTTGCTTATACTATTGATTAGGTTCATGGGAAGTTATTTTTAGTTTGTGTTTAATAATTTAATCACCAAATACAGTTTATGTAACATGGGCTCATGATTGTGTACATGCTAGATGGATTGTCTAGATGCTTCATGATCCTTTCCGTCTTAAGTGCTTTGTCATCTTTTGTGGGAGGGCCTCAATTATTCAAAGACTTTTGCCAATCGCGGCAGGGCTTGGTCTCAGTAACAGTCGGTTCGCTGTAAATAATATGAAATTATTTAATTGTGAGATGGTTTTACGTGTGGTATTCACACACAAAAAAATCAAGTCCTTCACGTTATGTACTTGTTGAGTACAAACCTTGTATGTGCACAGATTGCCGAGTTGACACACAAAGCATGCACACACACACACACACACACACACACACACGCACAAAGACAGCATGCTCGCTCAGTGCTTAGTACCTCGGTGTACACAGTGTAGCTTTTAAGCGTTACGTTGTTGATCTCAACACAGTCTGCTACAGTGTCAAACTGCAGGGGAGGGAAACAATAAAGTGGCCATTTAGGGTTAGCCCACAGTGGGAGGAGTCTTACTGTGTGGCGATCAGAATGAAGCACAGAGCCGGAATGATGTTTGGAACACAAGTCGGGATAAGGCTTCTGAGGGAGGGACACAAGAAAGATGGAGGACGATCATGTGAGCGAAAGAGTGGCTCAAATCAAGACACAGTTTAGAAGCAATGTTTGAATTCAGTGAATGATGCAACTGAGAAATGGGAGAGAGAACACAAGTAAACATGAATAAAAAGTTATGATGTGTGTGAGCAGCAGATGTGAAAAGATTGTTTTTTTTTTTTTTTAACAGTAGACCCTGAACATGAAGCACACAAACTCAGCAACTAAATTGATTTCCCACATTTCTGTTACATTATTATCAGCATCATCTTCATCATTAACTTCATATTGACATATATTATGGGTCTCATTAAAGGTAAAATTCTGATTAGAAATGAAATATAGTACATTTTGATTTCAAACATTTTATTTTCTAAATCCAACCCCAGTGCTTCCTCTACAGGGATGATTATTTCATCAGCTTCCTCTAGTGGCGCTAACGTAAACCGGCTGTACAACGATTTGCTATCCCAATATGCAGAGGTTGCAAAAAATAACAAAATATATCTTAAGGCCATACCTTCATAAATACAAATCAATTCTCTCTCTGTCACTCACTGACCGTGTAGGTCTCTCCTCCAGCGTTCCTGCTCTTCTGAAGCATCACCAGAGGAGGGCGCTCTCTGGCTGACGGATTCTTCCTCAGAGCTCTGTGAATGGTGGAGAATCAAAACATTCTTGTGTTGTTTGCCTTTGAGGTAAATGTAACTTTTTTTTTTTAATGCACTTACCTAGCTACCTGTCTACCTACCTACCTAATCTATCCATCCATCCACCATGCTTTATATGAAGACAGATTGGGTTACAATGGTGAGAGTACCTTTGCAGCAGCAGGCCCAACAGGATGGCCAGCAAGAACAGACCCAGCAGCGCCAACAGCAAAATGAACCACAGCTCCGAATAGACTGGCGCTGCTGACAAGCTCACTCCCTCTTTACTTCCATCGTGTGGATCAATGGGACCTGTAGGGTCAATGCCACACTATTTATTTGGACAGAAGTACAGTATTGGGACACCTGCTCAGTGCAGCACCTGAAATAAGAAAGTGATAACTTGGACCCTCCAAAGTTGGTGTCTACCAAACTTTGGAATTAAATTGTCCAAAAAGTTCATGCTCATGTAGATATGTGTGTTCTTTTTTTTTTTTTTTAATTTTTAATAAAAGACATGAAACTTGGAAGCGTGTGTATGTGTGTGCTACCTAGGCCTGATGTGGGGCTATATCTGACAGTGGGAGTGGAGGCACTGCCACTGTCTGTGGTACAAGTCACCTGGAATGACAGCGCTGCGGAGGACAAGGAGAGAAAGACAATGTCGTTTGAGAATACTGGTGAATAAAGCTGCTTTTAACAGGTTTGAGAAATGACACACAAGGTGGGACAAATCCTCCTTGTGAAAGCAGAGAAAACAACACCAGGTTGATCCGAAAGCAAGGCTATTGTTTGTCGTGCCTCTTTATGATGGCAAGCTTATAGGCAACGCATAAAAGCATATTTCATGTTTTTTGTTTTGAAGGCGCAACATTGTGCCCGAGTCAGATCTGTGGTACAAAAATGCTCAGTTTGATTGACACTGTAAAAGGGGTCCTAATTTAACAACAGGTGAATTATTTTAGTTGTATTTTGCGGTGTTGTCAAACGCGACTGATTCAGAAGTATTTTTAATATTTTGGTTTGGTTGTGTCCTCACTTTTTTGTGATGTGCGTGGAACATGGAGGAAGCTGTGGAAGCCGCTGTAGATCCTGAGCTGGCTCTCGGTCACCGTATACTCCCTCAGGTAGTCGTTCAGGGAGAAGGAGCCGGTCCAGTCAAGCCAAATGACCGTCAGGTTGCTGCCCGCTGACAGCTGCGTCACATACTGCGGAGCTGTACAGAGACAAACATTTGGTTGCATTTATGCAAACAGCGGATATTAATGGAAGAGGTAAACTGAGAGTGTGCAGAGAAATGACAAACCTTCCGTGAGTGTGACAACAGTGGTCCAGTTGGAGGCGGTGCTGCCCATGTTGTTAAAGCAGGCGACTCGAAGCTCGTAGGCAGAATATGGCTGAAGGCCTGCGTAAGCATGTTGACAGTACTCAGATGTGTGCGCAATAAAACGTTCTTAACATTTACTTCCGACAATTTGGGCATGAAAATATGCTAAAGCTGTAATATACACTGACTGGTGACAATATGATGTGAGAGATCCAATATCCAAACATTATGCCATCAATCACATTTAAGTTTTGACTGAAACGGTCAGTGTTAATATTGCATCAAACTGATACGTGTCCCCCATAATTTGCCATTATCATGCAGCTATTTAAGCTAGCATAGAAAGAATCAAAGAAAAACATGATGAAATGCATCAATTGTATGTGCATCAATTACAGGTGCATCTCCATAAATTTAAATATTGTGGGGATAATGTATTTCAGTAATTCAATTCAAAAACAGAAAATCATATTAAATTCACTACACACAGAGTATAACATTTCAAAATTTTATTGATATCAATTTTAGGACTGCAGCTAACAGCAACCCAAAATTCTCCATTAAGAGGCTGATCATAATGATGCGAGAATTTCAAACAGTAACCTGTCACATTGTAGCTGCGCCGCTTGCCAAAGAACGTGATGTCTGCCGGGCCAGTAACACAAGGGTGGCTCACAGGCTGGGGGGGCTGCGGGCAGGCGGTTCGCCGATGTAGCTCACAGCTGCATACAGCGAGCGTAAGCAGAGTGACAAGTGAGGTGACATCATTGATATGATCCCCGAGCTGCACCTTTCTTTCAAAGTGCAGTTTCTGTCCTCCCCTCACCTCTCGATGATTCCGTTGGGTTCCAGAGGCTCAAACCAGGCCAGTTGAGCAGAGCGGGAGGTCAGCATGACGGCACGAGGAGGCGGCTGGCGGGCTGGGGGAGCGGCCAGGGTGCGCAGCTCAACTACTGGTCCCTGGCTACAGCACTACAGTTACAGTCGTATATCATAACTGTTAAGTGGAAACGATGTCCTAATTTGGTCAATTTCACTTTTTTTTCACCCACACAACATATACAATTGGTCAGTCCTCACAAGGGGCAAATAATATTAAATGATTGAGCAGTCTAAAGTGTTGAACATGATTTGCTCTCTTTGGCATCCAATGCAACTGCTTAACCAAATGTGACATTATTATTATTATTATTATTTGCTTCCTGAAAAGTGATGATTTTGGAGATATAATTACATCTCATAGCATTCAGCTAATTTATGTAATTTTTTTTCAATCTTTTGTTGGATGACTGCACTGCTCATATAAATGAATTTGCTATAACGTTGTGCACTTGTGTTCCATCAGAAATACCACACGTTTTCGGAATGATTTGCATCACTTCAGTTGTGTGTATATATATATATATATATATATATATATATATATAAACACACACACTCAAATACAGACTTTTTGAAATTAATTTTGTGAAATGTTGTGTACATTGCCTTTGTCCTTCAGTATTCATCAATAATTATTTAAAATTGCTCATTTTCCCCCTACATAGTTTTTTTTCCTTAAGTTACAGTGCTGTAGTTAGGTTTGTACTAAGCATATCATCACCTTCTTAAAATGATGGCCTTCATCATATTTTGACCAAAATATACTTTTTTTTTTTTTTTTGCCTTGTACATCTCCTCCTGGTGCTAGCCACCTTTGCTAAAATCGACTACATGCTTTTAATCAAACATATCATTCAATTCTACCCATGAAATGAAATGAATGCATAAAATAATCAGCATTTCGATGATCCGACAAGCATCTTGAATCTCGAACATACAAAACTGAATACTGTTATTGATGTAAGTTCTGAGTTCTAGTGTTCTAATTAGGTTGTGGAAGAGTACCCATGTTGTGTCCAGGGCAATTGCATGTCAGCAAAATGAAAATAACATTCAATCATATCGATCCGATTTTGCATTCTCTTGGAAGAGATTATTAGCCGTTGTTCTCTTTTCTATTGCGTGTGTCCTCATGTGTGTACACCAACGCTGATACTTGAATGCTTTCAGGATATTTTGGTTAGAGGTTTAGTGGGACTTTCTCCCTTGTTCCATGTTAATACCTGAAAACAGGTGCAGGCCTCCACTCCGACCCTGTACTGTGTGTAAGGCAGTAAACCATGAAGTGTCTGTTGATGGGATGTTCCCTCTGAGAGCTGGGGGTGGGGGAACGGAACAGAGTTTGCGTTCTTTCCACTTTAGGGTTTCAGACTGCTGAGGAAGTAAGGAGAGGAGGGAGAGTAGTTCCATCTTTACCAGAGTGACGTGGTCGTTTGGGTCCAGTGAGAACACGCGGTAAAGGCTGACGATGCCGTTGGGCTGCGCCGGGGGACGCATCTCCACCACGGCCGTGGTTGCCGAGACATGTCGGAAAGTGGGCGGAGCGACACCCTCGGGTGGAGCAGGGCCGGTTCTGCCTCTGACCCACGGACTGGAGGAGCGGCCGGCTGAGTTCACTGCCCACAGCTGCCGGTCAACAACACATTAGAATTTCAGATGCATGTTATCGGCTCTTAACGAAAGTGTCTCTTAATTAGCCGACATGCAACAGGATGTACGTCAATGTATCGGCTCATCCATCAAAACTAGCATCGGGCGTGAGAGTGGAACCTTTTCACCGTGCAAGCCAATGCTAACATATCTGCATGACAATTACTTTTCACCTTCATCAAGGAGTTAGTCTCTCACACACACACTCCACACACACACATACACACACACGCACACACATACACACACACACACACACACACACACACACACACACACACACACACACACACACGCGCGCACGCACACGCACACGCACACACACAATAATCTTATTTGTGTGCTTGTGTTGGCTATAATTAGAGGGTGTACACAATACAGGGTCACGCGGGGTGGAGATTTGCATGTGTAAGTCATCTGTTGCCTGTCAGAAGTTGCGCACCAGGCAGATGGATGGGTCTGAGCTGAGTTGTTCAAAGTGTGTATGTGTGCGTGCCGAGTTGTTTGTGGCCAGAGATGGCCAGGATGGAGCGTGTATGTGTGCGCACTTGCATCATGTTAGGAGTGGAATTAACCTCAATAATAGTCAATTAGGGTGTGATCAATCAGAGTGATTGATCTAAGTGACAGCACAGATGGACTGGGAAGTGAGAGGAGGAGGGAGGATGGACAGACTGGGCACGAGGAGGAGGAAGAGTGGCTAAAATATCGGAAACAAAGAGAACTTGCACACACAGAATTATGGCCCATAGATAAGATTGCTTTTGGTAGAGGAAAGAAATTTCATCTGTGCTGTATGTTGCACATACAGCACATATGAAATGTTGCACATAAAGCACATTTGACAATAAAGTTGACTTGAACTTGAACCTTAACACGCACTTGGTTTTTCGGATTTTTTTCCTTATACATATCAAAGATTGTTTATGAGGGAAATAGTCACAAAAAAAAAAAAAAAACCCACAAAAATTTTAAATGATTTTAAATATGATATGCTTCCCATTGGAAACAGCAGCAATTAAAGAGACTGAAGTCACTGTAGCTGTTAGGTAGTGGTGACACAGTATAATTGCAGACAGGCATTAACCTTGGAATCTGATATAAACTCAAAATGAGACACATTTGGTTATGAAGGCCCAGTAGGGACACCATATTGAATATAAAACGTAATAAAATAGGAATTGGGAACTTGTGTGTCGTGCGATTGTGCTCCCAGGTTCTCCATGAAGATCCACTCCATTCTCCATTAAAGTGTGTGCACTGTTAACTGGGCTGTGATGTCCATTAATCTCATACATTTGGCTGACAATGCACTTATATTGATAAATAATAATAAAAAAATGAAATGTGGGCTAATGTTTTGATTGACACGGTCAGAAAGGTATTCATTTAAAATGCACTTTGTATGTTGATTGTAGGTTGTAGAATTGTACTGTACTGCGCTTCTCGTATTTTTGTTATAGGGCAAAATGCTTGGAGATTTTAGAAGTGCTCTTATTACTTTTTTTTATCAGCTTTGAAAATATAAATAATGACAATATAGTATAAACAGTTATCTTGGGGTGTGCTTAATCAAGATACGTAGTTGTTCCCCATTTGTCACAATGAACCATGCAAAGAATATTGTCAGTTATTCAGACTAAAAATGAATCTGAATATTGATTATTTTTAATTAGCTATTCTTAAGCGATGTGTCTGGGCTTAACAACAACTATACTTTTGCATTAAACTTATTGAGGTTTTATTCATGAAATGACTGACGGCACTTTTCTGTAAACTTGGACCTTAAACCTACTGATCATTTACTTCTTCTGGAATAGCCAGCAAATCAAAATGCTTTAATAGTTTGCCCAGCAACAATGCTCTGAACAAGGGAGCAACACTGTCAAAACGTCTTGCGTTGCAAGAAGTGATTAAAAAGTTGCTGTCACACAGATGTAACAGCGAGAAGAAGTTGCAACCTGAAGCACGAGAGATGACATTCACCTTGATCAATCTTGTGGTCCTTAAATCATGAACAGACTCGTTACTGCTTCCACTCATCTCTTGTTCTCTCCCCTCCTATTGGGCCACCATTTGGCTTGTTAGACACAAAATAAAAATACACTCCGTTTGCCGCCATGGCAACAAAAGACTACGGGGAACTTCCCGGCTGAATTTGAGTGCTTTTATTGGCCCGTTGGATAGCACGCGCCGTGGAAGTGCTCTGATAGGCCGGCAGAGCGACTTGGCGGGTGCATCTAGTTGGGGTGAAGGGGCTAAGTTGTGTGAAAGTGGGCAGTAATTAAAATGACGCATAAAGCTGTCAATAGGAGCTTATGACCCAGTGTAATTAGCCTAATATGATTTCTCTCTCTGGCACGGCTAAACTGAGCTGACGTATCGTCCTTGTGTACGTCTGAAACACTAAGACAAGAGACGGTAACTGCCAGTAAACACAGCAACATTGAAGTGGCTGCACACGAATCATTGTGATACGGATGATAACTCGGTGAATGCGAATGAAAAAATGTGACATCGAAAAAGAGATTTAGTGTGTGTGTGTGTGTGTGTGTGTGTGTGTGTGTGTGTGTGTGTGTGTGAGTGTGTGTGTGTGTGTGTGTGTAAAACTTCGTAGTGTGACTCAAACAAACTCACGTGGAACACCTCTGTGAGTGCATGTGACCATGGACAACACAAACATAGCAACACCTCGTCCCCCGTTGGAAAATCCCCAGGGGACATGTAGCGGTCACCATTAAAAGGTCTTTCCAACACAAGCACTGTTACCAAGGGGACTAACGGCTAACTCGATTGGCTGGCCGGTAATCAGGAAGTGGGGTACTCTGAGGGCGCCGTGATTAATGGCGCCGTTGCCCGCCCGTCATCTCCCAAAGCTCCTCCTCTCCCTCCTTCTTCCTGTCATAAATTAGGACCCTCGTAAATAAAAACGGCACCACAATCAGGCAAACTCAATCAATTACACAGGTTCTCTGGCCTCGGCTCGTGCATCTGACAGGCGGGGATGCTAATGTTATTGTTGCTTCCAAAGGGCTTGCTTGTCAATTAACATATCAACACGCAGCACAACAGGACGAATATGAAGCCTTCTATTTACCACCTGTCTGAATACTTGGCTTATGTGTGAATCAGTTTTTCCCAAATAAAATAATGATAATCCCATTTTACCAAGAGTGACATCCGAGCCCGTACACAGTAGTTCAACACCAAGCCATTATTGTGTTGTATGAATGGCACCAGGCAGATACACAAGTAAATTGTACGTTTTGCCATCTAGTGGAAGAGCACTTAATAGTTCCGCCTGTCACTCTGCGTTGCTGGCATAGATAGCTGAACAAAGATACATTGTTTGTGATAAATAATCATTTTCAAACCAATTACATAAAAATTCATAATTTCCTGCCACACACTGAGCAAAATGGCCGAACGAGACTGAATTTTTATTTAACCACAAACAACATGGAATGACTGTCAAGAATGAATGGGATAGCACGGGCTCTGTTGCTATACTCTGTGTGTGTGTGTGTGTGTGTGTGTGTGTGTGTGTGTGTGTGTGTGTGTGTGTGTGTGTGTGTGTGAGAGGCTTTTGACAATGATCGCCCCACTCATTGACTTGACTGCACTTGTACTTTTCAGTATCTGAGACTCTCCACGCTTCACTTTTTCATCACAGCTACATATGAAATTATACGTATAGCAAAGTATTGAGAGTCATGCAACGAGTTGCATAACCCTGCACACTATGCGGAAGATGTAAGCTTAATGTGGTGCGGCACAGATTGGAAACAATGTTGTGTAGCTGTTTGCAAATACAGTATGTGTTTGTCTTAGTGTGGAACTAAGTACAAGATACCTGGTACTCATAAGTGGTGAATGGCAGGAGCCCCTCATCCTTGCAGTTTGTGGATGAGTAATTGTAGACAAGTGTTGCTGCATCATTTTTGCGGCTATCGGTGGTGTGCTCCAGTCTGCGATACACCTCGTAACGTGGGGTCTTCCCATTTGGCTGATCCGGTGGGGACCAGGTAAGCAGGAAGGTTGTCTGGAGGCCCGTATAGCTGTCAGGTTGCAGGTCTAAGAGTGGCGCCGTCTGTCCAGCTGGGGGAGCCTCCGGCGTGAGGATGGATGACCAGTCACTGGACGAGCAGCCCAGCTCCGTGCATGCCTCCACCCTCACCTCATACCTGTACGCAATTAAACATCACTCATTTGTGTGTACTAATGATAGGAATGGATAGACATTTGAAATACTAATTTAAGATTTATAATTGTGGTTGTAGTGTGCGGGTGTGGGCTAAATAAGGTAACCAAAATGTCAGAAACAACTCTCAGTATGATGCAGCATTGTTCTTCACCACTGCGAACTACAACAATGACACTTTTGGGAAAGCCTGTACCCGTATTAGACTTTGCGCGCGAGCCTAATGTTGTGGTCAGTGAGTGTATATTGCAACATTAAATACAATATTTTATTGGAGAACGGCTATAAAATCCAACAAAACCAGGAAGGCGTTAATTTAAGCTTGATTCAGCAGTTCTGCATGGTCCACATACTATTTTGCATGAGTAATTTCAATTTGGCATCCGATATCGTGAAGGGCATTCTGGTCCACGGAATTTTCAGTTTAACTTTGTTATACTGTGGGGAGTGATAACGAAAGCAACTAAAGCGTAAGACCTGTTGTAGAGAAATGCAAGGCAGCAGGATAAAGACTGTGAAAAGACACACATCATGTGTGAAGTTCATTTGGACAAAGAGAATGAACCCGTGTCAATTCCCAAACAGGATATTAGGAAAATAGGAAACAACTGCTCAAAAACCTGTGGTAGGGAGCGAGACCCTGCAGAGTCGTATGTCTCTTGGAGAAGACGCCATCTTTTGGAGTGTACACGGTGCTGTTCCCACTGAGCTGGACAGGCTCTCTGCGATATATTGTGTAGCTTATAATATCTCCATTAGGACGGGCAGGAATATTCCACTCCACTTTCACCTAGACAGGACAACGAAAATGCAGGTCAAGACTCTGAGAAGGACGATGCAACCGTAAAATAACCTCACTGGTCATAGGATTACCGGTAGGTCCATCAGCTAATGACGCCCAATGCAATTAAAAACAAGCAACCCCATTCCTGAACATTTCGACGTATGAGTTATTCGCTTGTTTTGAGGCAGCTCTTGTGTTGGATCTCATGAGATTGTAACTTTGAGGTCACTGAGTGTAAATCTTTATGGAGATTTCAGTGAGTTTGGGTCAACCTGATCGGGTCCCATAGGTGACAGCAAGGGGGGGCCGACACCCGAAGGGGCCGCTGGGTGAGTCTTTGCTGAGGCTGCGGCGCTGTTCACCGCTCCCCTGCTGTTGTTGGCTCTGACAAAGTAGCTGTACTCCACACTGGGCAGAAGAGTGAAGTCGTGGTAATGAGTCTCTGGGCCCACGTAGATTACTTGGCCATCTCTGCGGAGTTCGTAGCCTGTGATGACGCCATTGGGATTCTGTGGTGGTCCCCAGCTTACTTCTACTGACTCCGGACCAGTGACCTGAAGTAGAAAAGTTACAGGTTGCATTAAAATTATTTCCAACACGGAAATGGCCTTGAGAATTGTCAATTGTCACTGGACAATAGTGCCACATGCAGCAGACATGAAATATTGACAAAGCAACCACAGTCAGGAGCATATGTTGACTTTGTTCCTTGTGAAATTTGACGTTGAGGTGTTACAGCTGAGCACAACGCAACTACCGGTATATACTTTTACTGAGTGGAACGCATACAGATTTAGGTTTTTAACGTTTATTTGCTGGCAGGATGATATATTTCATTTCATTTTAACATGCTAATGTACCTTTAAAGTGGGGACGAGCATATCCAAAGGAGGGGCCTCCTCCGTCACAGCAACTATTGTCGCACTGGCGGTGCATCCACCACGAGTACACGCCAACAGCACAAGCTGGTAGGATGTGTGAGGATGAAGGTTGACCAGAACGGTCTTCAGGTCTCTTCCTCGGTAAGCCTCTTCATTGTTCACCTCCAGTACATACTGAGTCACATCCCCATTCTGGGTGGGCGGTTTAGTCCAGGAAATGTCCATACTGCTGGATGTGATGGAGTTCACTGTGGGAAGCTCCACGGTGGTGGGGGGAGCCTCTAAGGTGGTAATGTTAGTGTGAGGGCTTGTGATGCAGCCCTCGGGTGTACAGGCTGTGATTGAATAGCTGGAAGAGAGGAGAGAAAAATAAACAGTTCGATATTTTGAATTGGTCATTGTCGTCATTTAACATACTGTTCAGTTAACATGCACAAGTTCGGGGTAGATTTTGACCGAGGCCAAAATGTCCTCTTAAAAATTGTCAAAATCATGTAACGGAGTAAAGATCAAATTCAAATGTATTATTAGCCTGTTTGATATTGAGAGATGGGTGATTGCTGTCAAGTGCAGACCCCTGTATGACTTCTGGCCCTTACTGTATGTTTAGTGGTTATAATCAGTGTAACGCTGTTTTAATCTTAGATTTTTTTCGAGATTGCTCCACGATTCTTCACAAGCCAAAAGGTGCACTTTGCTGCGCGAAAAATATATGACTTGGACTCTTTCACCGTTTAGAGATTCCTCATGAACTCAACTGGTGACTGTTTAAGCGGGAACACGTGGGCACACGTGAGACCATTTCAAGCTCCCTCTTGAACACTCTTACCATTGTTCAATAAAACAATTCATACATTTATGGCAGGCACAGTTTTAAGATTTCAACTATTACCACCACTTTCCATCACACATTGGTATATCTAAAAATCCTTTTTGTAGACACAAATCAAATCCGCCCCAGAACCACCAAAGCAAGAATGACATTTTAAAATATTTCAATTTTTGTGTACTTTGTGTCACTTTAGAACAGTGATCACATTTCAGGGTGGACAAGGAATGACATTTAGAGTATTTTTGGTATAGTACATGACCTGAGCAGTATGTTTAAACCAGCCTTACCTATAGCTCGCAAAGGGAAGAAGATCCTCGTCGGTGTAGCTGAGCACCGTGGGATCAAAACTGAAGGAGAAGCTCACGTTGTTTCTCTGGATCCTGTAAGACTGGAGCACGCCGTTGGGTTCGAGAGGAGGAGTCCATGACACCAACAATTCACTGGGTCGACCCTGAAGGTGACTGACGGTCGGTGGGCCTAGGCCGCTAGGGGGGGGCCTGCTTGGTCGTCACCGTTGACCAGGAACTATGGGCGTGACCGGCGGGGTTGTGAGAACGCACGGCGAACTCGTACTGAGTCCAAGGAAGCAACCCAGTCACTGTGTAGGAGAAAGTGTCATTTTCTTGTGGAGCTAACTCTCGGAAGAGCACCTGTTTGTGACAATGCGGGTGATTGACAGAGATATTAAATGACTTGTTAGGAAAAGAAATAAAAAACAAACCAGGAGCAATATTTCCACATACTTTCTCTCTTTGCGGATCCTCCTCTCTGCTTCTTCCCCTCCCCACCTGATCCAGACTTCTTCCCAGTAAGTAGTACTCGCCGATGGGTCCGTTCGGCTGAGCGGGAGGTCCCCAGGTGAGCCACACGTGGTCTGAACCGACGGAAAGTGGTGTGGGAGGGGGCTGAGAGGCGGGTGGAGCGGCCGCAGTGGTGACATGCTGAGGGGGGCCACGCGTGCACCCTGCTGACGTGCAGGCTTCAAGAGTCAGAGCGTACGTGGTCCAAGGCTCCAAGCGCCGAAACAGGAAGCTGCGTGACAGCCCGCTAAACTCCAGGATGCCCTCGCTGTACAAATTGTACACCTGATGGGGAAGAGGAAGCGGGGAGGTCTAGCAAACATTGGGAAAACGATAACGTCTACTTCTGTATTTATGCCAAGTTCGGCTAAATCATCTATCATAGCAGTTTGTCCTTTTTCGGCCCATAAAAACAATTTCACACTTACGGGCAACAAAAGATAACCATAAAACACACAAAGTACAAGGTGGATGGATTGAGGTTCTCCAGGCTGTAGAAGTTAGCAAATCAACTTAATGCATCAACTTAACTTTTATTTTTTGTCATTAGCATTAAGCAGGTTGTTTCCATGTGTCATAGTCATATTTCTCACTCAGAGTTGGTAGCCCACAGCTACTTTACTTGGAATATTTCTGACTGAAGCTGTCTCACTCTGAAGTTGCCATTTAATTCATCTTATTCTCTGGCACAAAATCCATGCAGGGATAAAGCTTCTCATCAACTATAATTATTACTAAAAACATTTCAGTTAGATGTACGCAGCTGGCATCAACTTGACCCAAGAGGATAACCCGTATGGTGTACCTATCCAGTTGTTTGGTTTTCTATTATTGTGCAGCATATACCGTGACAACTCCATTTGGAGAACTTGGTGGATCCCAGTTGAGTAGTAACGACCTGCCCTGCTCTTTTTGTTCCACACTGAAGTTAGCCAGTCCAGCTGGAGAGGCCTCAAGAGTCCTTGTGTCAACCCACTGGCTTGACACACTGCCTGAAGGTGTTAAAAAAAAAAAACATTCAAAATGGAATCAGATGTTTCTTTTGGAATGATTCGAAAGTAAGTAGTCACAATCAAACCTGCTTCATTTGCAGCTTCCACTTGTAGACTATAGTCGCTGTAGGGCTGAAGGCCAAAAATGGTTGCTTCGAGAGTGAAAGCCTGAAGATGAAAATGGTCAAAAACGTAAAAGACTGTCATAGTAAAGCAAAAAAAAAAAAAAAAAAAAACGCAAATATTTCCCCACAGCAAGGAAAGACTGAAACAATGACGAGCTAAAATAATGTGTCATGTGGATTTGTGATATCAACATTACAACATACGGAGTGAGCAGGAAGTGGCAGCGGCAGACTGGCAGACGGCCGTCCCTGAAGGCTGCGTTCAAAGCCTGCTGAGTGTTTGTATCTCACGTGCATCCTTTCATAGCTCTCTCTCAAACAAACAGAGGCACAGCGTGTCTGCCAGTAGCTTTAGGCAACGGGCCCCAGCCCAAAAAGCTGGCACTCAACTGCGACAGCATGTACGTCACATCATTTACTAATTGATAAGGGGCGCACAGATGTCTGGAGAGGGATGAGATGCTCGTCTGGGATGGAGCACTTAAACACGCAAGACTGAAAGCAACTTTGGTATGTGTGTGCACGTTTATGAGAACCAAAAAATGAAATGTGTTTCAAATATTCAAGCTGCAATTATTAAAAAAACAAAAAACAAAATGAACAACAACTCTCTCCTCAGGCTCTCACATAAAGAGATTAGCTGTTAGGCCAATTCCATGCAGCGGCGAGGGGATTCAAATGGCCCCAATTCAAACGGATTTAAAGGAAGACCCAGACAAATCAGCGTGGCGTGGCACTAAGGATGAAGTGCCTGAACAATGGGCCCAATGCATGTCTTGGCTGTCTCCATGTCTGCCAGCCAACATGTTTGTCATACGCAGTGAAATAGGATTAATAAATCCCTGGACACCCCTAGACGCAAACTAAATCCTCCTGTAAATCACACAAGTTCAAAGTGTAAAGAGAGAGGCAGGGACATGGAAAAAACAAAAAAACAAAAAACAAAACACAGTACATAAGTTAGGATATAGCGGGCAGGGAATTAGGCAAGAGTGCGATTGGCTGGCAACCGGTTCAGGGTGTGCCCCCGCCTACTGCCAGAAGACAGCCGGGATAGGCTCCAGCACCCCCCGCGACCCTTGTGAGGATAAGCGGATCGGAAAATGGTTGGGTGGATGGATGATGGAAAAAAAGGTAATCGGTGAGTAGGTAAGTAACAGGTGACGCAAATAAAAAGCGGACGGAGACACTGAACGACTCAACCGATAAGAGGTGAGAGAGAGAGAGTGTGTGTGTGTGAGTGGGGGGGGGGCATAGATGTTACAAAAGAGAGAGACAGATTAAGTGAGCGCGAATGAGAGCTCTCTCCACCTTAAAAGCCAGTGAAATATGTGAGGCATGTGGCCTATAAAGCGCTTAACATATGCACATTGTCAATAGCAGCATCTGGCGCTGGCAGCTTTTATAGGAGCGCAGAGACTCTGCTACACGCCTCTAGATGGCAATACATTCAAACACTTTATCGCTGCAACGCAGCGCGTTAATGGCCTCCTCGCCGCGCGCACGCGGACGCGCGAGGAAATTGAGCACGTCAACCCGCTAACTGCTCACGCACACACGTACACAAGCAGGCTGTAATCAAATGCTTTAACATGGAAGCGCACTACTATTACATTCCATTAACAGCCCCCTTCATAACAATTTGTCCCAAACACACACACACACACACACACACACACACACACACACACACACACACACACACACACACACACAAACACATCAAGAAATCAACAAGATGAGGTAACGCAAAGTTTTAGGTGGGCAATGGCAACAGAGAAATAAAAGTGATGACAAGCTGAACTGCGCTGTGAAGGACAACACAAAGGAGGTTCACCTTGTTACCGATTTAATATAGTGCTGCATGTTTGCAATTTGCAGTTTCCTGTTGTGTAAACGTGTTATAGCGGGACGGTAAACCCCAGCCGATTAGAGATTCGCTATTTACAAACTCACCTATTTAGCAAATTAGCAGTGCAAAAAAAAAAAAAAAAAAGACTATCATTTCTCAGTTATACTGTATGTATGTGGATTTTGGAATGTGCGTCGTTTGTAACCTCGAAATGATTTTTGTTAGGACTGTCGTAAATTGAGGACCCCCTGTACACATTTTAATGTCCCAATGCCTTTTCACACTTTGTTACGTTGGTTCAATTAAAACTGGTGTTATGCTGGCCACAGTTTGACCTGGGAAGGGAGTTGAAATAGTTTGGAATGTTTCAATATGGTTAGTTTCTATTTCATTTTGACTTTTGTTTATTTTTTTAAACTCAGTGAGTTTTCATTACTTTTTAGAGCCATATAGTTTTTATTAGTTTTAGTTTTTTTGAATGTGGTGTTTGTCAAGTGAAATATGGAGATAACACGGTCACTAGATACTGTGCAATAAACTACAATTCTCAAACGATTGTTTGACTTCGCTTCTTCTGTACATCGATAACAAAATAAATACACTTAAGAATAACCCTTAAAGTTCGTTATATTAACAAAAATAAAAACAAAGGACATTTTTGCTGTTATTATAGTTGTACAAACAAAATATGTAATTTGTTTTGAAGCTTTTCCATGTTTATTTGATTTTGTAAATGAAAATGTTTTTGCAATTTTATCTGTCGCTCTTTTGTTAGTTTTCGTCAACTATAAAAACCTTGCCTGGGAACAGATTCTATTTCCATTATCTCATATGGGAAAATGTGTTTCGGATGGAATGGATTACGGCCAACCTAAGAGGTTCCACAGCATATTATATAATCACATGTATAAAGTGAGTTACAGTTATGGTAATTATAATCAAAGATCACAGGTCAGTGTGAAGAAAACCCGACTGCCTTTGGTGTGAGATATGAAAAGAAAGGTTCAGGTTAACCTAAAATCAATGTGCCAAAGCACATGTATGTGGGAATGACCACAACCCCCAGTTAATCATGACGACGGCAGGGGAAGGGGAAGAGAGTGTGAGAGACCGGCGCAGATAGAAAGGAAGGGGACAAAGTGCAAGCGATAGAACGTTGGAGGATGCAGCATTACGAGAAGTTCATTCTGTCTTCTGTTTGGTGTGTCTGAACTGCCACGTATAAGGCATTTAATAATCGTGCCTGCATGCATACCCTAACAAGCCAACATCTGTATGCATCTTGTTTATGCGTCTGTCTCCAAAAGTGCACATCTGTATGTGTGTGTGTGTGGGGGGGGGGGGTGCATGATATTCAGGTGGAGAGGCATTGTGCGGCCGGGGGGACCAGTGTGTGACACTAATTAAGAGTAACCATGTGTATTTGTCAAAAGAATTATGCTGATTATCTCACAAAAGCCCCAGCACCGAGCCCTGCAGAGACGCGGGGACAGAGCAACATTAGCATATGGCCACGCACTCACATGCGCACTCTTCCTCTCTCTTTGTCTCGCTCACTGACACACGTGCACAGGTAGAAGTCAAGTGAGTGATCATACATGAGAGAGCCGTGTCTAATGAATGTGGACCAACTGGTGGACCTCAGGTATGTCCCGCTCCACAGGCCACCTCTGCCCTCCCTGCTCCATTATATTAAGTCCCAGACAGATAACAAAGCACCATGCCGGGGCCGCCCCTTCTCATGTGTCGCGCTTCTTTGTTGGTCTGGCAAAGCACGGGCACGGATGACATTCAGCTTCAATTCAACTGCGTCCGATGAGAACAAGCTGTGGCCTGAGCGGCTCTGGGAGAGCTTTAATTGTTTTTTGAGGTTTCTGAGGTGAGCCAGAGCACTGCATGCTGCTCTTTCGTGCCCCATGCCAAGCTGGCAAGCCTTCTTCACCTGTGTATCTGTGTGACTGTGTGTGTGTGCGCGCGCATACACATTTATTTGTGCATGGCTAATTCAATGTTGCTCGAACAATTGCCCCATGTATGCTTGCAAATGCCCTGCATGTGTGTCCCTACTAGTCAGTGCGAGCTCGACAAACTGTGAGACACACACACACACACACACACACACACACACACACACACACACACACGCACACACATTTATGCCATACACGACCAGACCCAAAGAGTGCCATTAGGCACGTGTTGTGTGGGTGGCCAGCACGGAGGCAGAGAGGGGCTGCAGGGGTCTGGACCAGGCATGCCCACTTCACACTGACATTCATGATTAGCTTTGGCGGCTCCCAACCTCGGGAACACAACATTTAGAGTGTACATGCTATTCTGACTGTGCCTGTTTGCTTGTGACATGTGGTTAAAGACTAGTCAACGTCAGTCGGGTAAAATGGGAGGGATGGTATTCCAATATCCAATATGTCAGAATACTCAAAATACTCAGTAGAAGGTTGAACACAATATGCTCCGTAATGCTGGCAGACTTTGGATTGATTGGGATTTCTAAACCGAATATTATACATTATAATTTAAAATCCAGAAAATGTATTGTTTGTGGCTTGTGTCTAGTGATGACAAGAAACCCCCAAATAGCCCAATACCAAATCTTGTTCAGTCTTTTTTTTTCATAGTGACTACAATTGTACATCATTGCAATTCTAATCTAATGCAAAGACGTTTTCAACCAGGTTTTTACGACTCTCATCCATCCATTTTCTGAACCGCTTACAGTAACTACTCTCAAAAACATAGATTGCCTGTCTTCATGTCCACACACAGACAAGGAAGACTCCTCCAGACCAGACTGTGCAGACAAGGAGCATTCAAAAAAAAGAAAAAAAAAACAAAACAAACACGCTCTCACTCTGAAGTGATGATCATCATATTGTGGCTGCTATCAGTACAAGCGGACCGGCAGCGAACTGGATGGTGTAGGCCCTTCGCAAACGACACAATAACACCCAACCTGTTATTACTGGGAGCACGAGAGAACGAGCGAGCCGGAGAAACAAGCAGTATAAAACCTCTCGAGAAATTATCACTCGCATGAGTGTTGAGCGGCGTGGTGGAGGAGAAAGACATAACAACTGTTATTTTTGAAAGTGAGGTATAGAAAAGCCAGATGGAAATGCATGGCTGCAGAGGGAGGAGTTTGAGAACACATGAGAAGATGGAGATTGCGGCAAAGGAGCCTGATTTTTTGGCTGCTTATGCAAAACGTCGAGAGCCCTCCAATCACAGTTGAAGACCTCTAAAGAAGGGGTCTGATAGGCCGGAGGCCCTAATGAACTCCGCATGCAAGTCCTCTTCTCCCTTCTTCTCTCTTCACCTGTCTTCACCCTCCTTATTGCTCTCCTCGCTCGCCTTGCTACCTCTTCTCGCCACTTCTTTATGTTTGTGGCTTGTTAGAAAAGTAATGCAAGGGCAAAAGCCTGGTCATTCTTATTCTTGCAGCGAGCATTGATCCCCGCATGCTTCTGCGCTTCGACAGTGCAAGGCGAGGCTACGACGGTTAAATGCAAAAAGTGAACATTTCTGGATGGAAGATTGAATTGCAATTTTTCAGACAGATATTGCAATTTCGATTCAATTCACACTTTTCTTCAAATGACATTTTTGTGAAATATTCAGAATGGACATTTACGAATATGAGAGACAATTATATCATATGTACCATCAAAACATGACCTGCTATTTAAGCATGTACACTATAAAGGCTGTGTGGGGGATGGGCATGGCACTTAAAGGATTGTCAACTAAGCAAACTTGTAGATTCGTGACTATACTAGTTAATACGCACTACCCCTGCTTTATGCTACGTTAAACCAACTGGCTTCAAGGTATACACCCAATTCATCCAATTGGTCACATTCAGACTGACATTTAGAGCAACATTTGCCCTGCAGCCACCCAAGTTTGTTTGTGCTCAGGTTATGGCATATGCTTACCACTATCATTTGTTTAGCTGCCACATCTTCTACATCTTCCAAGGGTGTATGATTAAGTAGACACGGGTGCCATATCTGAAAGCCCATGTTGGCTTGAAACACACTTGGCTGGCTGGCCCCGTGTTCTCTGATGGGCCCTTAATGGTAAACTAACAGATTGTAAACATGCTGCTTGCTCTCTCTCTCTGACTTCACTCCCTTCCATCAATCTCTTCCTCTTTTCTTTCCTAATTCCACTTCCATCACCACTTGCATTTCTTTTCTGCTCTCCTCACCTAGCTCTTCCTTCCACCCTGACATCCCCCGTTCCCTTCTTGCCCCTTTTCCCATCCCTCCCTCTTTCCCTTTCTGTCCGCTGCCTTTCCTGGGGTGTTTTTTAAACAATGTGTCCTTCATGTACGGTTGGTTATGGGGCGTACAGAAGGACATCATTAGCGCTGGTGGTTAAGCTGTAATTTACACCATTACCGAGGTAGGGGCCATTTTTATTGCCTAGTAAATTTCAGCTCTGAAATATTTAGACCATATGGCTCAATTTGTGTAATAACCTTAATTTCCAAGCACCCTTCAGCTCCCTTCCGCGCCGGCTGTTGTTGGCGGATGATGTGTGTGCCCGTTTGCCTGTGTGTGCACGGGCGGCATACATAGACACATGCGCGCAGAAGCAGGTGCATGGCGAAAATGTAAGCACATACACTTGCACTTAATCTCTAACATCCACATTAAACAATGTCTTCCACGCGCGCGTTCGTTCACGGGGACACACAAACACACACGTACACACGTATGTATGCATGCCGCTAGCAGATTAATAGGGTGTCAGCTTGTGTTTGGGTGAGGCTGCGTCAGGCGTCGGCCAGATGGTTCTCAGGGATGATGACTGTCAGGGGTCCTGCTCTGATCAATGGCATGTATTAATACGGCACAAATAAAGAGAGAGAGACACATTCACATATTGATGCACAAACACATGCAAAAAAAAAAAAATGTCATCCATGCACATGGAAAGCCATAACCGCATGGAGTAAATCCACAGAAACGTGTGCACAAATTCACACATACATACACATGGTCTCCTTTACCCAAGGGGTCCCGAGGGCCAGAGTGAAACATCTGGAAGAGCCGAGGGAGGGAGGGAAATAGAGGACGGGACAGTAAAGAGGAGATAAAGGGAGAAAACGACTGTGTGTAAAAAAAAAAAAAAAAAAAACGACAGGAATGAGAAAGTTGATCAATTTAGTAAAAGCAAATGAAAAATGTCAAAGGACACCGAAGGCTCTTCAGCAAGTAAAAAGAAGAAAGACAGCAGAAAGGAGGGCAGCGTGGGTCCTGAAGCAAGCGCCACGAAACAAATGTGTGGCTTTTGTCCTCTAAAGTCCACTCAGAATGTGGTGATCAAGCAAAAATAAACCTGAGTAATGAGAATCGTTCTAGTGTGGAAATTAACTACAAAAAGGAGGGAGAAAAGCTTGAGAAGAAGCAGAATGGTGCGCAGTAGAGCCAAGATCTCCACCAAGCCTGTCCGTCTCTTCGGACCTGCGAAGGGAGCCATTAACCATGCTGAGTTCTCGTTCCTGAGCCGAGCTTACATATAATGTACGACGCTGTCCTGGCTACCCTGATTTTGTATGCCCTCGTTTTGCCAAAACACAAAAAGAAAAGAAACCTCAAAATGCTTCAAGACAAATTATTGCTTGAGTTGTTTTTGTGTAATGCTGCTAAGTAACAGGCAAGCCCTAACTTCCTCATCAGATATAAAAGCAGATATTAAATAGGATTGAATATAAAAAAAAAAGGAAGAGGTCCAAAAATAGAGGCAGAATGCATGAAAGTAAGCCTGACAGCCATGTCCGAGTGACTAACACGTCTGTCACTGAGTTGCAAAGCATGGCGAGAGAAAATGTGTGTTGTAAGATCGCACACGTTCGTTTGTGTGTGTGTGTGTGAGACAGTGCCAAACAGCATGTCGGGGTCGAGCAAAGCAGGCCGCCTGCGCTCCGTACCCTCATTCCGTCCGATCGGCGTGACGACCCCATTAATCAACCAGGCTGGCACGGAGCAAAGTTCCCAACACAGCTCGAGATCAATACACACATACACACTCGCAAAAAATGGAGGTATGTGAATCGAAAAGACTTGGGGGAAAGGAGGGTTATGATGGGAACTTGAAGGTAATTTGTTTCTTCTGAAGGCACCACCGGTTGGACATTTTCAACCTCAGATTAGCACTGGAATGCTGCTCGTCCAAGCGCTGACTCACAAATCTGTGACTTTGACTTCGGAAACCGGTTAAATATATTTTCAAGTCCGTATATCAGATTAGGTTACTTATCAAGGCTTCTGACAGTTCTAGAATATTTATAAATCAATAATTCCCTATCTAGGAGTCAACTATGGTTTTTGCCGACCTCTGACTAAAACAGACACCTCATCAATTCAAAGTGGTTTCTTTGCAACTTCACATCAGTCTTTAATGCTACCTTATAAAAATATGAGAACATCCCTTTTTAATGTCCTTTTGCGTACGTTTCTCTGACACACTTTGTGTATTTGTGCAAAAGCAGAGCATCTGCGGTAAAGGCAGGTGCGTGACAAATGACTGTCACCAAAACAAGTCTATGCCATGTCAATGAGCCTCTCACCCATACCACACACACACGCACACGCACACACACAGAGTGTTCCATATCAATGAGAAGGTGAAAGGTCTCCATTTACATCTTGTATTAATTATGAGTGACAAGCCAAAGGTCACAGAAGGAGAAGAGGCCACGCGTTTGGACAGAATATAGATCTGTACTTGTATCTCGTCTCCATTCACTCTCCTCCCTCTTCCCGCTGATCTATCCCGCTGCCTCACCCCTTCACTTGGTCGTGCGCGCCTTCCAGACTGACATTGTTTCTGTTCTCCTTCTCACTTCCATTATAAACGCCTTCATTATATATTCTAACAACTATCTCGGGGCCTTTCGCTTTTACCCCATGTCACCGAGACTGTCTACCACCAGGCTTGTGATGCAACGTACACAAACATGAACTTAAACCTGACTTGTTATAAATAAGGATCAGATTTAAATAGTTCATTATCGTACCGAATGAGATGTACATTTTACATACTGTAGTGTTCAGAAGTTCTTTTTGCATCAGTACTGTTTCAAAGGAAGGGAGTCGCATGAATGCATGAATGTGTGTGTGCACTTTTACCTCCACAGTGAGTGCAATCACGGCAGGTGAGTTGAATGTTGGGTCCAGCTGGTGCTTCTTGTAAAGTAGTTTATAGTGAGAAATGACACCGTTGGGCTGTTTTGGCCCACTCCATTTCAGATGGATAGAGTATGCACCTGTGCACGACATGCAGTCTCATCACGTGCAAAAAGAAGTACTCTCAAGTTTAAAAAGTCCTAAAATAAAATCTACGTTTCATATAACTCACCAGTGGGTGTGGCAGTGGGAAGGGGCATATCTCTTGGCCTCGCTGACAGGGTCCGGGCTAACGTCCTCTGGCTCAGAACCGAGCCTTTAGAGTTGTGGGCATGAAGCCTGTACTGGTAGTAGGTGAATGGCTGCAAGGACGGGCTGGCATCGAAAAACTCTAGTGGGCCACTAGACCAGATAAAAACCAGCAGTTCCTCCTCTGTTTCCATTGGGGACCTGACAGATCAGAATTTGAAGGTGCAGGAGGTAAAAACGAAGGCACTAAATCAGACCAGACAATATTAAGCACCATTATTTAAAGATGCTCTTGTCTTTTACTTGATTAATAGAAAGTAGTGTCATATTTAAGCCACACTGTCGCCCAAAAGTCAGCTGGGATAGGCTTCAGCCCACCCGCCAACGGCGATAGAAAGCGGGAAAAAATGGATGTTTGTAAACTTAAATGTACTCAAAACAAGATGGCTGAGTGTGTAGGGAAGCAAATGAGCAGTGTTTCTGTGTGCGTGAGAGAGAAAAGACAACTATTGTTACTTGAGTGGCTGTGTGGCTAAGTCTCAGCATGCCAGGTGTGTCAGAGTGCCTATGTATGCGTCTATGCTAATGTGTGTTTCCTGAGGATTTAAAGGGCTTTGTCCATTCTGACCCTGCATCCAGATCACACACTCTTTGGTCAACAAGCAGAGCGCGACCTTCGATGGGACTTTAAACACACACAGTCGCACATGCATACACAAAAAAGAAGGCTCTGCCTGAAGATAGATCTCTCCAAAAACTTTGTTTCTCATCTTCCCTATTTGCGTGTCTTGATCAAGTGTGTGTGTGTGCTCCACATTGACAGGAAACTTTGAACTTTTACACTCCGTGGAAGTATCACCCAGTGATTGCAGCAATACGTCATCATTAACATACCGAGTAAACGTAGTGCTGTTGTATTCTTGTGAGTTACCTGTATATATGGTAGGAGGTAATGATGCCATTGGGCTTTTTCGGGGGAGACCAACGGATCTCCAGGAAACTTGCACCCGCTGCTTTTGCTGAAGGTGGCGCCAGATGCTCTGGCGCAGTTTCGAAAGTCCGAACATGCACACCCTGTCCTACACCGCATGCACCTACACGGGATATAAGACAGTTTTGGGACATTTCTGAAAAGGTCACATTAGGAAGTTATCAACAGCAAGTCAATAAGCCCAAATATCCAGTCAAGAGATGCACAGAGCACCCTCCAAGCACAAGAAAACAAACAAGCACAATGACCTCAACGTCATCTAATCACACAAGAGATCCACATAAATTTACTGCTGAGTTCGTGCCACACGGCCGTACAAATTTCAAGATCTTTCAAGAATCTTGAGAGTCTTTTGCATATCAACGATCGTGTTTGCATTACAATTAGCTGTTCATACAGTAAATGAAGGTCTTATAAGTAAAAACAACTCGGCAAATTGTTTTGGAGCAATCGAACGCGATTGTCATGAATGTAAATCATTTGCATTTTAAAGTTGTTCCAACATAAATGACTGTTTTAGCCCCCACAAAATATCTTTTTTTTTTTGTGTGTATTTGACTTGAAAGAAGGCTGTGTCCATTTGTATGCAAGACTGTGCAATGGCAGCAAGCATGATCCACTTACCACGTTGACAGGCTTGCACACGGACATTGTAAGCAGTGAAAGGTTGAAGACCTTTCACTGTGAGGGTCTGGTCCTGGCCCGCGGGATGCATTGCGGCACCTTCAGTTCCAGGATTCAACAGGATGTTGTAGTTTACAGGCTGGCTAATGTTGAAGTGGGCTGGGAAAAAAAGGGAAAAAGGGATTACACACACACAATCAGTACAACCACAAATACAATTTCATAATCACAAAACAATTTTCATTGGCATGAAAAGCAAATATTACATTGTAGGCAGAGCTTCTGAAGAAAGTTACCAAAAATAGGCAAACCCTGAAGAAACATTTGGTCGCTAAATTAATTCGGTGTGTACAGATAAACAAAGTCCCCTTTGTCCCTATTGCATACATATATATCCATCCATCCATCCATTTTCCCATCCGCTTCTCCTCACAAGGGTCGCGGGGGGTGCTGGAGCCTATCCCAGCCGTCTTCGGGCAGTAGGCGGGGGACACCCTGAACCGGTTGGAAGCCATTCGCAGGGCTTGCATATATTTACCACAAACTTTTTTTCAACTTGACCTGACAAACTCTGTTGGATAGTTTGTCCTGAAAACTGCCCAGTCTAAACTGTGGGCTCACAACCAGGCAGAAACACACCAAGTGTATACAGAAACTCAATGACCACACATACTCAAAGACTTTGCTAATATTCTCTCTGGAGCTTTTTACATAATTCAGGCCAACTGTATTGTGATGGGTAATTCA